CAACTTAATTTATCAAGTAAGATGCTGTGATTAATAACGTCAAATGCTTTCGAAAGGTCTAAAAACAAACCAACTGAGAGTTTTTTGTCATTGAGTTTGGAGAGGATGTGATGGACATAATCGAGTAGAGCAAGTTCCGTTGAGTGGCTAGGGCGAAAACCATATTGGTTGTTGCAAATAATTTTATGTACTTCAAAGAAAGAAAATAGTCTGACATAAACTGCTTTTTCTAGTAATTTTGACAACGGAGACAGTAGAGAAATCGGCCTGTAGTTATTAATGTCGGCATTATCTCCTTTTTTAAATATGGGAATAACTTTCGAGGTTTTAAAGCAGTCCGGAAAAATTCCTGAACTAAGAGATAAGTTGAAAATATGTAGAAGGGGTACTGTTATATTGGATATTATGTTTTTTACAAGAAACATATTTAATCCATCATCTGAATAAGATTTCTTGTTTTTCAACTTGCCAGCTAATGTTAGCAGCTCGGAGCGAGTAATCGGATGGAAGCAAATAGAGTGAGAATTAGGCGGTGACATGTGGGACAAAGGATCTGTATCAACTGAAGGTAGGTTAGAGAGAAGTTCGTTGCTGATGTTTATGAAGTGTTCGTTAAAGTGTTTACATATTTCAAGTTTGTTTTGTACCTTATTATTGTTGATGATGAGTTTTGATATTTGTGGAGAAGAATATCTAGTATTTAAAGCTTCTTTGATCAAGTTCCACTGTGATTTAGAATCATGAATTTTATCGAAGCGGTGAATGTAGAAATCACGCTCAGTCTTTCTTTTAATCCGGGTGAAGAAATTACGATACCTTTTATAAGCAGAAATGTTGCACTGCGACGGAATTTTAAGGCTTTTGATGTAGAGTTTATGTTTAATTTTGGATAAATGGATGATGTGTTTGTTGACCCACGTTTTTTTATAAATATAATTGACTGGAAGCAGAGGGGAAACGGAGTCCAGAATATAGAAAAGAATGGCATAAAACGTAGAGCAGCATGTATTAATATTATCTTGAGTAGTGACAGATGACCAGTCTTGGACAGAAAGTTGGAGGTTGATTTTCCTAAGAGAATCAGGACAGAGATTTCTACGAAGTTTAATTGGAGCTGTTGGAATGGGGAAACAATGATTTGGACATAAAGCGAAAATAGGAAAATGGTCGGAAAAGTCATGTAAAAGAATACCAGAATATCAAAAGAATGTATGTATGTATGTATGTATGTATGTATGTATGTATGTATGTATGTATGTATGTATGTATGTATGTATGTATGTATGTATGTATGTATGTATGTATGTATGTATGTATGTAACACTTTTTCAACATGGCGAGGTCGCTTGTAAACAATGAAGTTTTATATTTTCTTGAAAATAATTGGTGTTTAAGTGAAAACGACTCGTTTGTAAATAATATTGTTAAATTTTACAGTTTTGAAGATATTGATAATGCTATTAAAGCTCTGAAAAACGAATTATTTAGTTTGAAAATAGAAAAAATTGAGAAGTTTCAGCCTCGCGGGAATAGGAAAAGAGAGAAATTGTTTGAATGTATTTTCATAATGAAATATTTAAAAGAGAATAAATATTGGGAAAAGTGTTCAATATTTGTGAGTTCTAACTTAAATAAAGTTCCAAAGGTCGAAAGTTTGTTAACGATAAACTTTCAAATAATTGAAGGTGAACTAATTGAAATGTTGCACAACCAACAGATGCAGTTTAATAAACTAGTCGAAGCTGTTTCAATAAGAAAAAATAATGTTGTTGAAATAAATAAATTTATAGAAGCTACTGAAAATAACAACATTAATACCGTTAAGTTGGAAAAACTTGTTGATACTGTTGAAAATAAATTAGTAGTTGACGTTCATAATGCTGACATGAATAAAAATTTAGAAATTAATGCCACTGAAGAACTAGTCAATAAACCACTATGGTTGGATGCATATGACAGTCCAATTGGCAATGATGTTCGGCCATTCTTGCTTGTTAATAAACGAAAGAAATCTCAACAGCTCAGCAACAACACAAAAGCAGACAACAAACCAAAACTATCAACCAACAAGGTAGCTGACTCTAAGACAGTTGAGAAAAAACCGGTTAGAATTATTGGACAAAAAATTCTAGATAACGGTAAATTAAAGGCAGACAAGGAGTTAATTAAAAAACCTGTTTTCTGTCTAAGCAACATTAGCAAATGCCACAGAAATGATGTCGAAGAATATCTGACTACTAACGGAATTAGACTTTTATCATGCTATCCAGTCGTTAAACAGTTTAAGAAAAAATCGATAGCATCTGAAAATAGTATTGATAACAACACAGTCAACTATTCGGATGATAAAACTAAAGATGATATAGAGTCCTCTATGTTCAGAGTTTGCATTGATAGAAATGACGTTAAAAAAATAAAGGACCCAGCGATATTGCCGCAACACATTATAGTGCGCGAGTGGCAATTTAATAAAAAAGCTCAAGTTACTGTTGAAAAAACAAAGAAAGATGGATAAGCTAAATATCCTAGATGATGATGATGATGATGAAGATGAAACTGATAACTACAATGAAATTCAAAATAAATTTAAATTAATGTGTAATTTTCATTCATGTATAAACAATTTTAAATCAACGTATGCAAATTATAGTAAAAATAATAACATTAACAGTAGTATAAATTTTAATTTGATTCATCTAAATATAAGAAGTCTCATCAATAAATTGTCAGAACTAGAAGATTTTATTGATCAATTGGATGTTTTTTTTGATGTTATTGCTATATCAGAAACTTGGTAGCGTAGTGAAAACCATAATTTAGTAAACTTAAGAGGATATAATTTTTTTTGCAAAAATTGACAACACAAATTGGGAGGTGGTGTCGCTGCTAGTGTCAGATAGGTTAAACTGCAAGGTTCGTGATGAAATCAATAAAAAACTTCCGCTTGATTTTGAAACATTGGTCCTAGAAATTTGTCACCAAAAACCTGAAAAAAATAAAATTATAATTATAATGTATCGATCTCCATCTTACAATTTAGATAAATATTTTTGCCACTTAGAAGAAGCAATAACTTTTATAAGTTCAGAAAATAAATCGCTATTCATCACTGGTGATTTCAATATTGATTGCTTTGATTCAGTTGGCTCTAGTGACAAAACAAAACTAAAACAGTTAATGATTTCATATGGTCTGGTGCAAACCGTTCACGTACCAACTAGAATCTCCGTCCTCAAACAGTCACTACTCAACAATATATTTTTAAAAACAAATCATATCAGTTTTCTCCGTGGAGCAATTGCTTGTGATTTGTCTGATCATTTACCAGTTTTTGTGTGCATACGGGAATCAGATTGTGCTAAGCATTCAACAAAAACCAATAACGAATGTAAATCGATCAACAAGTTTTCTTTCTCAATTAAAATTAAAATGAACATCTACTGTCATCAGATTGGAGCCATGTCTTCGGGTGTGTAAATGTTGATATGGCTTTTGAAAGATTTATCAAAATTTTTCAGTCCTGTTTCTATGATGCGTGTTTAATACAATCACTGAAGAAGAAAAAACTTTTGATGAAAAAAAACCATGGATATCAAAAGATATTAAAATAATGATCAACAAAAAAATATATTTATACAAAATGTTTCTGAAAAATCCTGTTCAGGAAAAATATGAAAAATTCAAAAGCTTCAGTCAATTTTGTACAAAGTTGATAACGAAATCAAAACGTCAATATTATTTTCAACAAATTGAGCAAAATAAAAAAGACATTAGAAAAATATGGTCAATTATAAAAGAAGTTTCAAATATTTCTAGTAGACACGGTTCTAATATTCAATTAACTTCAAACGACCAATTAATAGAAGATCCTGAAAATTTTCTAAATGAACAATTCGTAAACCTAGCACCAAATTTGATGAAATCCTTTAACGTTGATAATAATTGGAAATTATATCTTCACAACAGGATTTCGAATTCATTTTTTTGTGTTTATGTATCTACGACTAAATTGTTGATTCCAAAATTTTCCAATGGCCTGGATAACATTCCAACAAAAGTCATTATAGAAACAATCAACTCAACAGCAACTATTCTTGAACACATCATCAATTTTTCCATTATAGAAGGTGTGTTTCCGCAATGCTTAAAAATTTCAAAAATTATACCAATAGAAAAAGAAACTGGAAACAATGATGCATCAAATTTTCGACCCATCTCACTTTTGTCAACTTTCTCTAAAATAATAGAAAAAATAATGTATAAAAGAATCACATCTTATTTACAAAAAAAATAACATTCTTTCCAGTCATCAGTTTGGTTTTCGTGAAAAATACTCGACAGAACTGGCTATCATAGAACTAATAAGAAAAATCGGAAATCTCACGGAAAAAAAACATTTTGTTGTTGGAACTTGGCTTGATCTTTCCAAAGCTTTTGATTGCATCGATCATGCAATTTTATTAAGCAAGCTGGAACACTATGACATAAGGGGTGTGATTTTGAAATGGTTCCAAAGCTACTTGTCAGAAAGGAAACAGTTTGTTTGCTGGAAAAACAAGTATTCGTCATTACGGCCAAATGGAGTTGGTGTCCCTCAAGAAAGCATTTTGGGACCACTTTTATTTATTTTGTTCATCAACGACCTTCCAAATGCAACAGACTATTTCGACTATGTTTGTTTCGCTGATGATACTAACATTTTTAGTAGCGGAAAAAACATCAACGAAACAATTGAAAAAACGAACGATAACGTAAAACACGTTGTTTCTTGGTTCAACAGCAACAGGTTAACAATTAACAACTCCAAAACTCAAACGATTGTATTCGGACCAATAAAATATTTAAATTATAAAGAGCCGTTCAAAATCGAAATTAATAATCTTGAAATTACTGAAAGTAAAACATTTTTGTGAATTATTCACGGACCATTACATTCAAAGGTGTATAATTTATATAGAAAACTAGAAACATAATTTGTATTTTCTGTTACGGTGGCCATGCTCGATGAATTCCAATAAGAACTCTATCATGGTCAGCCCGCTTCTTATCATTAAATTCTTTTTTAATTTAATGGAGCAAATAAAATTTTGTTTCGTTTCGTTTTGTTTTGTATGTATGTATATATGTATGTATGTATGTATGTATGTATGTATGTATGTATGTATGTATGTATGCATGCATGCATGCATGTATGTATGTATGTATGTATGTATGTATGTATGTATGTATGTATGTATGTATGTATGTATGTATGTTTGTATGTATGTATGTATGTATGTATGTATGTATGTATGTATGTATGTATGAACCCATAATTGATTAGAACTATGGGGAAGTAATAATCATATCCGGGTTCAGCTTTAATCCATGTTAAACGCTTCGCACAGACAGGTATTTTAACGCTCCATCCAAAATACAGAAAGAATTATATTTTTGAAGTAAAATAGAAAAGGATTGCTTTACATAACTCTTATTTAATGGGTCACCCGATACTTCTACAATCCTGCTACAGAGTTCATTCAGAAAACTCTGAGTCTGAGCATCGGTTGGACCAAAGGTCTCAATGCAGACTGGCTGAAAAATTTTGCTTTCTGCAAGAGCCGCATATTTTGAATTTTTAAAGTCTGCGGCTCTTAAGGCAGCGGCACCTGCCTCCTGTGAGGTAAGATTAATGTACCTTTCAGCCATGGTGTGAGGGAACGTAACATCCCAAGCAAGGGAACGTCCCTGCGCCCATGGTGAAATAGTATACCCATCGGGCCTGAGGCTACCTTCCTCCATAAGACCCGTGGGTTCTTTAATTGGGGGTATGTTTGCCCTCTGAAAGCACCTGACCAAAAAGTCGTTCATGGTCGAGTGTCGAGCCTGTCTATCAGGGCCCAATCGACACGAAAGACCATGGTAGCCCAGGGGTTCAACATTGGCCCCACATAAACAAACATACTCGGTTAAAATGGGTAAACCGAGTCTCAGTCCCAAACTGACACGAACACAAGAGTCGTCCAGTCTGGTACCGCCTTCAACCAAGATGATCCCAACTCACTTTTTACAGCCATTATCCTGGCTTTATCAAAATTTGATTGGTTCAAATCCAGCAGCTTAGTGTTTTGCTTGCTCGCATCGTTCCAATGTTCAAGCTTTTGAGAACGGGTTTCGATACAAATCCCCGCTCCGTGGACGGTCCGGAACCCATCAAAAACTTGGGTTCTGAATGTATGTATGTATGTATGTATGCATGTATGTATGTATGTATGCATGCATGCATGCATGTATGTATGTATGTATGTATGTATGCATGTATGTATGTATGTATGTACGTATATATGTATATATGTACAGTACATATGTATGAATGCAATATACTTGTGTCTGTACCGTCTATCTCTTTTTTTGCTTTTTGAGGAATGCAGCTCAACACGAAGCGTCATATAAAGAAGATAATAAGGAGAGTTTTGACGGGAAATCTTGCGGGTCTGAAGTGCACCACGGTGAACTTCCACGCTGCGGTTTCTAATTTTTATGTATAAAATGATTAAAAGTCTAAGTTTAAAATTATTTTGAATTCTTAAACTAATGATTAAGTTTTGTTGTTGAACTGGTATTAACGAAATTTATGGACTAAGGCTGTCCATGGAATTGTATTTAACTTTTAACATAGAAGATTTTTATTCATTCCGTTAATTAAAAAGACTTTCAAATAATTAAGATTTTTCGCAAGTAAATGAATTAAAATAATTACTTGAATTAAATATTATTTAAATAAACGCTTCCATCAGCATTAAAATGGTTTCAGGTGTTAAGTAGCATACATAGCTTTTAACTGGAAAATTTTAGAAATGTCATTTAATATTGTAAATAAAGTAATATATACACATATATAATTATAATATAATAATTATAACAAAAATAATAATTTTTAAAAATAATAATAAAATTTTGCCCACCTGGCTTGATTATAATAATAATTTAAAAAGTTCGTGCGTGAGTTGTTTAAGAGAGGCCTCCTTCCTCCTTCCTTCCTTCCTTCCTGCCTGTTCGTCTATGGTTAGTTGGAATTAATTTCGATTGGATGATACTTGCAAAATGATTTTTGGTCAATTTTTTTAATTATTAATTTCCGGTGTAGTTTTAAAGTGTTTTTTTTTGTTTGCACTGCTCAAACCTCACAAACACGATTCAAATTTTTGTCTTTCATAACGAGGAAGTACCATAAAAAGCTACCAACAAGTTTTTGAATTAGATCCTAATATTTCATAACGTTAGAGCGGATATTGTGCAAAGGATTTTTGCATTACTTTTTATTTTACACCCACACCTACTGAAAAATTTGACTTTCTGGCGATGATGGGAATTAGTGTTTTGCTTGCTCGCATCGTTCCAATGATCAAGTGCAAACTGGTCTTCAGTAGATTTATGGTTATATTTTATGTATATTTGTCATATTATATATATGTAATAAATACTGCTAACAGTTATAACGCAGGTTAAGTTGCGAGTAACAACATACACATGAAAATCTCAATTCGATCATTTAGAAGCACCACCGTGTCTCCTATTATTTTTCAGCCGTGTATAATAACAATGTATTAATAATATGATAGTGTATCATCATAAACAAATCTTCGTTACAAACGGAGATTCAGAGTGTGATATTAATTGTTGAGCAGTTCCTGTTTGACTTTTTATGATGTGGCTGATGACGACGCAGAGCCAATATCAATTATCTACCCTTGAAAGTTTGCGGATGAAGTTTTTAAATGTTTCACAATAGGTCTAGAGTGTTTGAATTAAAATCACAAAAGTTCATTTATTTGAAAGTTTTACAAAATGCAAATCATTTTCAAAGCGCCGACCTGAAAGTTGCTGCAAAATGTTGGATGCAATTGGATGTGATAAGCCTCGTAAACAATGAGCAGAGCGGAATTAACTTAGCGAAACTCTGCCCACTGTTTACTCATCTCATTTGTCCTCCTCGAGACGTGAGGCACGCCTGAGCAATATGACATTCATTAAAACCATTACCCTTCACGTTGTCAATCTTTAACAGCGATTGTAATCGTAATAAAAATACCTACCGAGAAATTATTATGAATTGTGGTCGTCCAGTGCGTTACATCATATTATCTGAAGTTATCTCGAAAACTGTTAACAATATTAATTTAACAAAAAATTATCACAACAATAACTACAAAGTAAACTGAATAAAATAATATAATTTTTGTTATTTATACATAAAAATCTGGTTAACAAAATATTTTATTTCAAGTTTCATTTTATCAAACGAACGTGCTCAATAGGGCTAAAACATCACAATCGCGACATTGATGTACGCGCAAGCAAAAGTTCAAAAGGTACATAAACCCAGTTTTTGCAGAGAGAGACAGAGAGAGAGAGAGAGAGAGAGAGAGAGAGAGAGAGAGAGAGAGAGAGAGAGAGAGGATTCTAACTAGATCACCGCGTAACTATTCAACTAAACTACACTGGACCTGGATAGCACTTCTTCCATCTGAGCTAAATTTTAAATCAACAGTCAACATCATTGCTTATTTTGTCAAAATATTTGTTCAATCATATAAAAAAATTTATTTTACGCGTCTTTAAAATACTTGACACAATCTACTAGTGGACCGACGCATTGCAATTTAAACGTTGACCACAAACACATTTAACACAATATAACTAAGACAACATGTAGTTGGAATATTGACTATGATTAACATTGTCTTGATATTATTGATTGTTATTCATATATCTTTTGAGATATATTTAAATTAATTTTTGTCTGTGTAACATTTATTCTACTTATAACAGTAACCAAAAATTTAACTTTAAAAATCAGGTTAAAACTGTTATGAGCAAAATAAATGTTACATTAGGAATTATTTATTGAATCAATTCATTATTAGCTCTAAAAAACTTTTTTACTGCAATTTAATATGCGATCGTGCCACAAAAACTAATTTAGGAGAACTTTTTATCACTCACAAAAATTTATAAAAAATCTTTTTTTAATTAAAAATCCCCCAATGTATTATGACACGTTTTTTGGATATCTACGAAATGAACAGTTACAAAGCTTGTCTGTGTTAATACAAAAGATCCTATTGGATTGATAAGATAGATGACCACTTGAAAACAGTTTTTGAAAATTTCCAGGAAGCAAAATCAACCAGAACCAGTAGGAGCAGGATTTTAAAAACACCATTTGAAAACAACATGAGAAACAGTAGACGCCTCTTTTTTACGCTCCGAAAATTGAGACTGCCTCCCTTCTTACCTGAAGAAAATTGAGTCTACTTTATCAATAACTACTAACTAAATTTCAAAACTATCAATGACAACTGTTCAGCAAGGTAATTTCTGTACAATGTTTTTTTAAATTATCTAAATAATTAACATCAGTTTTTGAAAAAAAGTTGGCAACATTTATGGGGTCTTATCCACTGTTTAAATATTTTTGGCAATTTTTCCATTAAAATTGTATAATTCATGAAAAATAATCAAACGTTACATATGGGATATCTGAGATAGGCATTCTATTAAAATTTTTCTTAACCTCGACAAATAATTCCATTGTGGGGGGCCTAGCACCCCCTAGCTAGGCCTCCTATAATGTCCATTTATTGTCCATGTGTTAGTTATAAGCACCACCGCTTCTTTCGTTGTTCGTCATTATTCCTGCCCAAACCGACCTTGAGATTTAATTTTTCAATTGTTGAAAATTTAATTTCAATTAAAGTTTTTGACCCAATAAAAAATTGTGATGAATAATTCTTTCATTCAAATTAACATTTCATCATTTTGAAAACGTAATTGCCAATTTTTCAAATTTATCATTGGCAACGAATAATTTCAAATTTGTTTTTGAATTTGCATGTGCGTGTGTCTGTGGGCCAAACGTAGATGTGTGCGTCGTGATAATGTGTTTGTTTGTATGTCGTTGTATGTTTTAGTTGTGTGTGTGTGTGTGTGTGTGTGTGTGTGTGTGGTGTGTGTGTGTGTGTGTGTGTGTGTGTGTTCTGCTATTTTACTCCGGTCTGCCTGCCCGGTTTGCTGATGGAAAATAATTCTTAAAATTTTTCTCACATTTCACAATTTATTACATCAAAACTCTCTCTTTTTCTCTTCAAAATTTAGTTTTTCCAGTACAATTTGATATCTTCCATCTAACTAACGTACCACGATCGTAAATTATGGAAAACAAATAACATTACACCAGCAAGCAACACGCGTGCTTACGTTGGAAGCTGATAATATTTGAAAGTTGGAAAGATGTTGTTGCACTGATGTGGATGTTCAGCCGTGCATGGACAAGTTTTGAAAGTTTATGCAAATTCAGGTGCCAGCCAACAAACTAAAGCCGAAACCACTCCGCTATTAATCTATGCGTCTATTGGAGTCATAAACATAAAAAAACTTCAAAGAATGAAACACAACATACATCTTACGCGAACAAAAACAGGAGCAAACTCAACAAACATCTTACATGAACAAACTCAACGAACATCTTAAACGAACAAACTCAACGAACATCTTACACAAACATACTCGACAAACATCTTGCATGAACAAACACAGCAAACATCTTACCAATGTTCCCTCTAAGCTTGTTCGACTGCGCAGTAGTTTGAACAGGCTGGCGCAGTTAATTTTCCTTCCACGCAGTAAATCAAACTAACCCGATATTGTAAAAATAAAAGTTTATATAATTGTTTTTTCAATTTTACACCACCAAACTTCCGTATTTTCAAAATTTTTCAAATTAACCGCTGCCACATCGTAAATCATCTCACGTTGCATGCATTATCGTGTCTACTTCTGTCGGAGATGTGAAAGCTATATTTTATTTGATAATAACATGAAATCGATTTGTATAAATTTTGGATAAACAGATTAAACAGTTGTTTGTTTTTGCAGTCTAATTTTAGTTTTTGTTATGAAAGGACAACGCTAGCAAGGCTGCAAATGGTTCCAAAGAAGCCTGGTTAAAAGAAATGGTCGAAACTGACACAATTGATTCGAAATGTTTGAAACAAGTACAATTAGAAAATATTTTGATTTTTCAGAAGATGTTGGTTTGAAGCCTAAGCCTGCAATGAATTTTCAAGTGGAAACAAATTTGAAATGTGGAAATTAGATTATAATCTAAAAGACTCATTTGCAGTCAATTGCAAAATTGAAAAGAACTGAATCTGGAAAAAGCATTAGCAAAATGATTACGGAATCTGGAGCAGAGAGGCAGATGAGGGTTGAACTTAATGAGACAACGAAGCAAGAGCGAACAAGTAAAAATTCTTATTGAGAATGTCGCGTTAGCTATTTCAATGAATGCTTCAACGCTATCAGTTGTAGACATGGCTAAGTACGTGAAACTCCCAGAAAGTTGATATTGATGAAGTTTATAAACTCTGTAAAGCCACAAGTGCAGGAGGGAAAATAGTGAATGAAATTGATTTAAAGTATTTTTTTAGTATATCTACTTTAAAGTATATCTTTTGAATTTTAACATTTTCAACTGAATTGTACATATATTATAATAAATATATAAACAAATGCTTATTTATGTGTTTATTTATGTATTTGGTAGTATTTTGTTACGAATAAAAATTTTCGACCTTCATAAATTTGCTCAGACTGTTGAAATACTTGCTCAGTGAATTTCGTTTTGGCACACAGCTCATTCATCCTTAGAGAGAACATTGCATCTTACACGAACAAACTCAACGAACATTTTACACGAACAAACTCAACAAGCATCTCACATGAACAAACATCCACCTTTGAAGCACAAACATCATCGATGCGTGAAACATCGTCCCTCCTCATAAAAAAGTTATTGTAATCATGCTAGAGCACACAGTTACGAACAGACTAAAAATAACTCACTATAAACACACACGCACCACACGCACACAAACACTACTCATGCACACAAACACACTCTACACACAAACACACACACTGCCGAAAATTCAGCGGGACACTCGTGCAAGATGGAGCATGCACGCTTGCAAACATCCTCCAGTCCCAGCCAGACAGAATATTGCATGGCAGACATAACGACTCCCAACCTCTCCTTCATCCATGCTTACCTCTTCAACGTGGCCGCAAAAATAATCAGGCCTTCATTGCATCTCTCTCTCCTCTTCCAGTTTTCATCATCATGAATGTTATATACCCCTTCACACCACACCACATAACTTTCACTATTTAATGAGACACGATCGCTAAAAAATATATTAATTGATTTTTAATGGCACTTTATTTCTTTTCGTAATTGAAATTGCTTGTTGTGTTGTTGCAACTTTATATAAATACTCATCGAATAGTTCATTTGTGGCAAATATTAAACCATCCAATTGAGTTATTGATTGGTCCTGCATACATCTTGTATGTTGTATGTTTTTAAGGACGCATTATATATAAATACATAAATATAAATAAATAAATATATATATATATATATATATATAGTTTAGATTAAAACCATTTGAGGTGCACTGATTTATAAATTCTAAAATATTGATAGCGTTCGTTATTCGTTTACTTTGCAGCGATCATTTGAAGTCTTGAGAAATATAAATCAAAATAAATAGCGTTAACAGTGCTGTGGAATTTAATCATAATAATAATAATAATAATAATGAATAGCACACACACCAAAATTTTATTATCCAACATCTTATAATGCAACATCACAACATGCAACCTTACAACAACATCACCATGCAACATCTTATCACTACCTAGCATCGACATAATGACTCAATCACATCATCATACATCATAATCCTACTACTTCTGCAATGCGTGGACTTCATCGCATCGCGTGTTGCTGTTTGCATAAGTAGCACATCCAAACACAGCCATGTGCTGTAGTTACGTTTCACAAATTGTGAGTAAATAAAGTTTGTTTGCATTGATTTCGTCAATAATTAGTCTATGTTATATATTTTTTCATGCATACAACATTAATTTCAAGGCTGAAAAACTCCCTCTACCTGTTCGAATGAATACACATCATTGTGCTTCCACGCTTATGGGCTATTTCAATGAATACAGAACTCAAACACGTACGTGGCTATTATTATTTCAATAATGATATATGTACATACATAAACACGTAAAACAATATATCTCATGAGAACATCAGTGGGTATGTGATATACATAGTATGTTGTAGGGTTGGCACACATGTTTGTATGCAGTACCTAAGCGATAATAAACGCTCATTATTATCAATACTATGAAAACATTAAGAAGAGCTATAGCGAGATTATGAAATTAGCATCTGAAGTAATAACAATAAACAACGGGATATTTTCATGAGCAGTGTGTTCTTCAAAAATGGGTATTTATATCGGTGTATAAAAAGGTTAACGTGTTATTAGTGTGTGTGAGTGTTTGTGTGTGTGTGTGTGTGTGTGTGTATGTGTGTGTGTGTGTGTGTGCGTGCGTTTTGTGTGTGTGTTTTATGTTTCGGCGTTTGTGCTGCATGTTTGTTTAAGTTATAATGCATGTGGTTTGAAGCTCATCGTTTTTATTGAACGACATGTTGCACCAATGGTGTCGGGGATTGCAGATCAAGTGTCGCTATAAACTGGGCCGCACCAGCTTCTTGATGTCGTTGAGGATGTCGTTGAGGATGATTTTTTTTCTATTCATAACAGCTAAGTAATCGCACAGGTTGTTCACGTTGTGACTTTAATTTGTGATGCTCTAGTGCAAGTGTAGCCCACTGATTCTATTTGCGGGCCTGACTACAAAACATCTTTTACGAACCGGATAATGAAATGAAAATTTTTTAATATTTTGAACGAATTCAAATAAGTTCATGTGTGCATCCAAGTTTTCATCAACTCGTTGATTAATGACTAAATTTTAAGGATAAAGCTCAACAAAATAATGATACAATAATCTTAATGGGACGAAATATGAGGAAGTGTAAATTTTATTTCTAGATGGTGTGTTGGATAAATTAATTAGGCGGCCCGTACGTCAGCCCTGTCTGTCTTCATTCAGCGTACCTCTTCGTTGCAAATTGCGGGTTTCACTAGAAAACATTTTCTGCGAACCAAACAAAACAAAAATTTATATTACGTACGATTGTTTAAGAAACGACTTTATACGTGATTATTTAAATATTCAATTATTTCAATTCTGAATATGTTTATGCTGATTTTGTCTACAAATATTTTAGAGTTTGTTTCAAAAAATGTGAAGAGCTCTAATAAATTAAAGCTCATTTTTTTCAAATGTTTCACAAGCATGATCATAAATATATTTCGCACCATCTTAAACTTATTTTCACATGAACTTGATAATTTTTTTAATGCAGTGCAGCAAAAAACTAAAATTATTTTAGGCAAATGTCGGCCAGTTTAAAGAATATGTAACATATTTGAACAAATGTTAAAGTGCGGTATAAATAATCACTCAGCGATAACGTTTATAATGAACTTTGATATAACTCCACTGTAGATGAACCTTACTGAAGTGTTTATGAATGTTGCATGGCGTGATGTATTTGGTCGTTAAGCCCAGGGGTTGTCCCATTTTAATTTCTCCGTTTGTTTTATGCCTCCCTTATTTATGTTGTTGGTTCTTGGTTGAGATAGAAAGGTCAATCCGGTTATAACCGCATGAAAGGAAACCTTCCAAATCATCTTCTTGTTAATTTTGGCTGGTCGGTGGAGGAACATAAACTCAACTCCAGCACCTGATGCATGCGGGCTGACCTAAAAGTCGTGGCCCTACAAAACATATTTCAGTAAAAAATAAGTTTGTTTGGTAACCCTGCAAACGAGAAATATGAATTTATTGAGAAATTCATGCAAAACTAGTTTTTTGGAATTTGCCGGCAAGACGGCTGATGTTTGATATTTGACAAGTCGAACAACTTTCTCTTCGTATCAGAGGGTGATAACATCAGGCCAAATACACAAGTTGCGATTGTTCAGCATGCTATCTCGTATGGTAAAGTTTGTTACTGCTCGCTGACCGGGGCTTGTGAGCAGATGAAAAATTTGCATGTAAGCCCATCATCTATATATGTATAAACTTATGTATGTATATATAGACTATAGAAATATCAGAAATGCAATTATTGATGAAAATCACGGCATGTTCCGCGTTTCCACGTCAGTTACTTGACTGTTTAATTCTTTGATTTTTCTAACAGTAGATCGTAAATCATTCGGTCTTATATATAGAAGATGGGCCCACACGCGAATCTTTCATCGGCCCACAAGCCCTTTATACTTGAGCCAGCCCCTGGCCGGCGACATACACAGCGTATCAATTCGAGCACCGAAGATGGTATAGAAATACTGGAAAAAGCATTTTTGTTCTACCATGCTTAAATGTTCTATCATGCCTAAAATATAAAAAATTTTGATTTTGAACTCAAGAAACTTGAGTATGATTTACGATCAACCGTTAGAAAAATTGAAAAATTAAACAGAAAGTTAACTAACGCAGAATATGTGATTTTCATCATTAATATATATATATATATATATATATATATATATATATATATATATATATATATATATATATTATATATATGTGTGTGTGTGCGTGTGTGTGTGTTTGGTGTGTATGTGGGTGTGTGGTGTGTGTGTGTGAAGTACATTAACATTAATTTGCCGGTGTTGTAAGAGAGGCCGAAAAATGTTGTTCCTTTATAAATGTTGTTCAGTCATAAGTAAAAATAGTGTAGTGTACTTTTTAGGGTCCTTCAAAAAAAAACGAAAATATTTTTTTTATTATTATAGAATGATGAAGAGGAACGTTGAAATAGAATGATGTTGTAATACAACAACAACGATTGTAGCACCGACGGTGGTGGTGTTGTGCAGTTATGATTGATGGTCCTTTTAATTCTGATGTTTGTTCAGCCCATCTTGTTGCATCGGGGAACTTGACTGCTAACGAGGTGGCAAGTAATTTGTATTCTAATACATCTTCCTATCAGTTCCACTGCTGATGTTTTGCAAACAGTTGTGCAGGCAGTTCGTCTTATGTAGGCCGTATCTATTTACTTTAATGTTCAGATGATGATGACGTTGATAATGATGAGGATGTTGTTTGCGATATCTTTGATATGGTATTGATGTGGAATGATGGTATCATTCTTTTAATGTTTGGTGATGCTCTGACTGAATAAGATAATTTTGTTGATGATGTCATTTTGTTGGGGTTGTTGTCATAATGTTTTATTTTAAGGTTAGAAATATCGACGATTTTGTTAAGTACGTTGATGCTGTTTTTAATGGCGTTGATGATTTGGAAATTGCAAATTCTGTTTCTCTATCAGCCACCAACTATCAGAAGTACCTGGGAGCTAACGGAGTGTTTATAACAGTGCGTCGGAAGATAATTGCTCTGCCTGGCGGCGAAATTTATTTTTCAGTTCAGGTTGTTAAAATTGTTAATTGTTTGTTTGTTTTCTCTATTAATGCTTGCCGGGGCGCTGTCGGTTCGTTGGGTTGTTGCAAGTATGCTTTCGTAAGTTTGAGTATGTATGTGTGAGTGTGTATGTGCATGTGGGTATGTTTGTGTGGGCGTCGCCGGAAGTGTGCGTGTGTGCTTGAGAGTTTAAAACAAGATTGTTTAATTGGTTTATAGTAACCCCTTATGCTCCCTTGTTGAATGTTTGTTCTTATTGTTTTGTTTTTTGTTCGTATTTTTCACTTTCAGACTGAAAATTAATTGAGTTTTGATCCTGGAACAATCGATTGTTTGCACCTTTGAGTACCGTTACACAGTTTACGAAAACCTCTATTTTACTTCAGCAAAGTTGCAGACATTCATCAACCATGGAGACTAGAGAAGAAGAGCTGGGATATTTTGTTACTTTGGATGGCATGGTGCAGGCAGTGGTCGGCTGCACGTCGTCTTCACGGTGACGGTTGGTGGTGTCTTTTGTGGACGACATTTTCCCTCTATTCTGGATTCTTGATGATGATAATGAAAATGATGATACGTAGGATGATGGTGATGATGATGATGGAAGTGATGGCAATGGAATCGAGGTTGATGACGATGTAGATTATGAGGGATTATGTTTTGTTGCGTGGACAGGGTTGAGAACTTGCCATTCAACGTCACATCAGGTGAATTCTACATTTGCTTATCCCAGCCAGTTCTGTTGTTCGTTTGAGATGAATTTCCTCTTACCGCTCAATATGAACTTCAATTTTATTTTAAATATTTTATTTTCAGTATTTTTTATCTTAAAAGGATGCAAATGATCGTGATCAGAAAATTAAAGTATGAATGTAATAATTATAGCAACTATTTCTACTTAAATTGTATGCATTCAAAATTTTCTCTCATTTCGACAACGCTTGCAACCATTTCTCCAGACCTTCCACTCACTCGTGGCAAGGCTGGCATCGAGCTGCATCAACACTGGCAACCTTTCTGTTATAAAAACTTTTCTTCCACGAATTCTATACGAATTTCATTATCGTTGTCTTTTTTGCCGTTAAAGTTCTTTATATCATAACATCTTCATGACATCCACGCAATCGACGTTGGAATGGTTGGACGACTGACATTCTTCCATTCAGAATGCAATCATCTTCCCGTCATTATCTTCGTTTATCTCTTTTAATGGCAATTATTTCAATCGCTCATGCCTCACCTATATTTTCTTCTGCTTATTTTTTCATTCGTCGCGTTTCTATTCCTTTTTTGTTTATTTATAAAAACTAAGTTGAAATCTGATTTGGCGTCTATGAAAACATCGCTTTCCAAATTTTGCCAGGAAATTAAATTTATTAAAAATAATATTTGAAAAATTAACTTAAAATTTTTACTGTTTTTTTTAGTGCTAAATCTATAGACAAAAATTTTTTTTATCACCAGATTGAAACATTCTCCTGTAATACATACTTAGAGTTTTTATAGAATAAAACGTTCACAAGTAGGAAAATTTTTAAACAATTTATTGTCATTAAAATATTTCTTTTCAAACTCAAGCAATTTTATAAAATATTACTTGGTCTGAAAAAAATTCTTAATTTATTTATTTAAATTAAAAAAAGACGATGTCAACCTGAAAGTGATTAATTTGATTTCATCGACCACAACTAGTTAGGTTAGAAATTAATAAGAAAGATTAAATATATTTATATAGAGAAACCAACAGAACATTTACAAGCATGCATAAATATTGATGGAAGAACCACAGTGCTCCAGTTTGCAGTCAACTTAACATTTGTTGAGGCACTTCTTTCATAAATAAACTTGCGACCGATGATAATTCCATTTCAAACAATCAAAGTGACACTCCGCGTTTGTTTTTGTACCATCTTTTTAAGAATGTACATATAGCAAGTGCAATTTCATTTTTGCTTTTTTTTGTTAAAATGTTTCACCTGGTCTTTTAATTTGAATTTTGTTTAAGATGTCTACCCTCATTGCTGCATGTAAGCCTTTCATTGCATTCCATTCGTTGCAGCCACAAACAAGTTTCAACCAAATATTACAGTTAAGTGCAGCAGCTTGGTCAACAGATTCAATTTTATGTCAAATCCGTTTTTTGTTTTCTTCAATGTTCAGTTTTTTAGCAAATTTAAGCAAGAAATACAATGCTCAATTATATTTGAAACGCTTCAACCAACATTTATTTAGTAAAAGTTACATGCAATTGTTTTAATAAACAATCACAAATATATACATACATATAGACAAAATCGCTGTTAATTAATAGAGGAGTCAATATTGAAATTTCAAATAAGTAAAAATAATATAGAAATCATTCATATATAAATGAGGCATGATCTTTTTTTCGATAGTGATTCATTCCCTCATAAATTTAATTGTTCAGCACAGAACCAATGCGAAAATCTTTTCGCAATATAACATTATGCACGTGATGCCACACACACGCACGCACGCACACATATGTTGTCACGTAGGAGAATTAGATGAAAAATATTTCTTTACAATCCTCTTACACAAAACGTAGTGGTTCGACAGTTCAGTGATCATTCAACAAATATTTGTTGTTCATTTTGATAAATTCCGTCGGCAGGTTTTAAATAAATTCTGCATGCAATCGTTGAAATGTCATACAATAAGATTTTAATTATTTTGGTTTCTACGAGTTTCAAGAGGGGATGTTATTCATGAAAATTGCTATAAAGTTTTTGAAAGTTCAAGTCATTTTTTTAAAGTAATTAAATTGAATGCTTATAACTTGATTGTTGAATGAGATTATGAATCATTCAGTGCCAATCGCAGTATATTTTGCAGTCAATTGGTTTTCACGAATTTTAAAAGTAAAAAATCTCTTCATCATCGATACATTCATCTTATAATATTCTCTTAAAAAAACTAATCGGATTAATTTGTCATTCATTTACAATTAGTTAAATGCATTAGTTTACTTGTGTTTGCAAAATCGTTTTGGTTAAAAATAATATGTTGGTTTATTGAACGTTAATGATGTTTATTAAATTAAGTTTGATAATGTTACATTGTAAAAGCATATCTGCAAAATATTTCAGATTGATTAACTGGATGTTACCGTTGAAGAACCGTAGAGAATACATTTGATGTTTGGCTCTTTCTGCATCACATCATTTGAGCTGCGGAGGTTATCAAGAACCTTGATGGAGGCATGAACCTTCATCAAAAGTTCCAACAAATAACTGAACAATTTTTAAATAATTTTCAAAAAAGTTTATAAACTTTCTAATTTTTTAAAATATCTCTAATTACATCATCTGCGAATAATGTAGAAACAACGAGGAAAGTGATGTTCGTAACAACCTGCGCGAGATCAACATCGACACAGTCAGCTCTGTTAACGTCAAATATCAGTGGCTAAGACCTCTAACAACAACTCTGCATCAATACTCAGCACCAATTTAAAGTTTCAAAACCTAAATAAATTACACGAAATATCCAAAATCAATTCATCCAGATGACATATGAAATGTGTAATACATTTTTATGTTTATAGAGATGTATTAGTACTGGAAGAAACAGTTCAAACAGGTGAACATGTCGATGTTCAATGTTGACGAAGAAGAAACCTCGGAGAATGTCGATATGAACCAGGTCAAAGTTTGCCTGTGCAATATTTTTGGTGGTTCGTTGGACGGCATAGGACCATCACTATTGAACTTGGATGACATTTTAAAGTTAAATGAAACGGAGGATAGCGTGAAGAACCATTCGACGCCAGTGTCATGGGCCACAACTACCTGCAGTCAGGTGAACGACTACCAAACATCGATGGCCATCATGATGAACTGCAGTCGCGTTCTGTCGGCGTTTAGCGACAATTACTCAGATTCCATCATTCACAAATTGTCCTCAGTATTCTACACGTACGTCTGCTCCATCATCTGTCTCTTCGGATTTTTAGGAAACCTGGCCAACGTCTTCCTCCTCATACCACAAGGACGCAAGTGCAGCATGGGACGAATGGAAAAATCTGTATACTGGGGTTTGATAAGTTTAGCAATGTCTGATCTCTTGTTTTGTGTGTGCGTCATACCGAGAATGATTACTGATAAAAATGTCATCGTCCCTCAGGCTCCAAATTTTTCGCTTTATTATTTCACATACAGTGATGCGTTGGTTCATTTGTTTGCTATGATAAGTACTTGGCTGACTGTTGCCATGGCAATGGGACGCTACCTGGCTATTTGCAAACCGTTCACAGCCCGAGCGGTTATTGGTAGAACAGCTGCAAAAAGAACGATAGCGGGAATATTTCTCATATGTTTTATCGTAAGTTTGCCAAGATTTTTTTGTTATAGAGTGGAGACCTTGCATTGTAGAAGCAGCATTCGATATTACATCAGAGAACCAATACTTCCCGTTAGACCAAATTTGCTTTTCGACCAAATATACAACTGGTTCTACTTCTTAGCAGGAATTATTATACCCTTTGCATGCCTTATATTCAGCAACGCCTTCCTCATCAAAACACTTGGCAAAGCAAAAACCACCTTGAAGTATTGCAGAGTGGTGAAACGACAACAAAACAGCAGCCAAAATCAACAGAGCAGCAGTCAACAGCCATTGCACACCAGCCACAACAAAGTGGACACTAATAATTTACACTTTTTACATCAAAAATTGCAGCACCGATATACTCCAGTACATCTCTACTCTCCATCTCTCCAGCCTCAAAAACATCAAAATTATTACAATCAATTCGTGCAACACCAAAACTCAAGCTCTCACCAAACTTTGGAGGACCAATACCGACCCATCACGTTAACACTCATTGTTTTGGTCCTTACCTACATCATCTTCGTCACGCCTTCTGAAATTTTTTTGTTCATCAGAAGGTGCATATTGTCTGAGCGTCAAGGCACAAACATTTTAAACAACTTCTTGGCAACAATTGCGAACACCTTGCAGGCAACAAATTATTCTCTCAACTTTCTTCTCTATTACGCCATCAATGTCAACTTCAGGAAATCCGTAACAAATGCTTTCTGTTGTTTCAGAAGTATCTTCCTGCCTGGCTGTTCGATATCATTAACATCAGTTCCCGTTGACATTATAGATAATGAGTTTGCAAATGCCAACAACAACATCAATAGCATCAACAGCGCTGGCAGCAGCACCAACAATGAAAACAGCAACAACATCATCATCAACAACCTCAACAACCTCAAAGCTCTAAGTTTTAAAACCAATACTCCGATCGTAATAAGTTGAACATTCAACACCCACCCCGCTCGCTCCATGTTCTCTGCTCGGCAGGAGGTCTTCCTTCCAGTTGGAAGCCAAATAATTATTAGGTTCGTCAAAAAAAGTTATGAAAATGAATGACGTGAACAACCATTTTTAAAATCCGAAATATTTAAACTTGTTTGAAAATGTTCTCAAATTTTCATTTTGTGGCAAAAATATTTGAACTAACACAACAATATATGCGGCACTTATGGAGGTAAATAAAATGTTCCGAGACACAACCGCAACAAGGTAAACTGCGACAGTTATTAAAATAAGAACGGAGAGATAAAAAATGTTACGAGCACTTTAACATCTCCACGGAATGCCGAGCACACATTTTGTCAAGCAGGTCTAAAAACATTAACAACAACATCTTTCCATCTCATCTGCAACCAAAGTTTGTAACCAACAACACAACTGCAAAACAACTGCCACATTTCTAATCAACAGAAAAATTCATCAATTAGTGTTTGGATAAGAGTTGCAACAATAAGCCATCGACCGACGACAAGCAACTTCAAACTGCTGCTCACCCGCGCACTTCCTTGAAGATAACAACAAATCATACAATTGGAAAACATTCCTGTTGTAAGCAGACCGATTACATGATTTATCAATGAACTACTTGAAAGCGCTTGCAACAGAAACATAATGAACTCATCAGATTAGTCTGCATGCAATTTTCGGCTAATGAAATTAGAGTGTATTCTTATGAAATAATTTTCAAATCGTAAAAAATAGTTCGAAAAAGTTAGCGAAAAACGGACAAGAAGAAATCTGAGACAGCAGCAAATGTTTGACGAGATGTAGGTGGACATGATTAATGGATTGGCACTTCTAACCAGTTACATGTTTCTATTTGTTTGCATTTAAAACCTCAAACTGGTAACCAGGCTGTCATGTTTGGAGCACGCTGCTCGTTGTTTATCGATTGCAGACGGTCAACAATTTTTTGTAAAGTAATCTCTATCAAGTAAACACAAATTTTGTTCTTCTCTACACCAACAATGTGCAGTGCAAACTTTGAATTTTGGATAATGAATAGTTGTGAAAAAATTATATATGTATATAAAATTTATATATACATATAATTTTATATACATATATAATTTTTTACAACACATATATAAATATATATGCGTGTGTGTGCGCGTGTGTTTGTGGGTGGATGTGTGTGAGTGAGTGTGTGGGTGTATATGGGTGTAAATATATGTAATTTGTTTATTTATTCATTGTGTTTAGTCTTTTGTAATACATTTATGTTCACACGTGTATTTATGCAGCTTTGTACAGTGCATTTATATACGAAGTTATACAGCGCATATGTATGCAAAGTTGTGCACACACATTCTTGCGCGTGGGCGGACCATCTATTTTATTTGGATAAATGAATATTTTGCATGGTCCTTTCGTCCCGATACAATTATTATATTTTCCGTGGCGTTTTGCAGTTGACGGGAGTTATAAAAAGCATGCACTTTTAAAGAACAATTGTAAGTTATCGACCAACAATTCATATAAAAGGAATTTACAGAATATTAACTATCGTTATTGTTATTATTTTTATTATTGTTATTATTATTATTATTATTATTATTGTTATTATTAGCAGAAGTTATTGAAGAAATTTGTTTGATCAACTTTTGAAACTCATGTTTGAGACATCATTTAAAAATTGGCACTTGAAATAAACTACGCGCAATATTTGGCCCGTCAAAATTTTACAATACGAATGCCCGGTTATAAAAAGATAATGATATTTTTCAAAATTTGTTACATCAAAATTTACACAACTTACTTTTTCCTTTCGTATTTTGGTCAGGGCACCTTGAATGTTTTGTAATAATTGTTGAATAATTATAAACAATATGTAACTTAATTTAATTTTTTTATTATTTAGCGTAAGAGAATCAGTTGGATTTATAAAAATTGCTTGAATATAATTTACGCCATGTAAGATGATTTTGTTTCGTGCTACTCTTCCCTGCCTCCCACGAGGTGTTGAGACAGTGTTGGGCATGTCAACTCGACTGGACTGAATGAACATCACGTGTTGACATTGCGGTTTACTGGCAGATAGATAATTTACCGCAAACGTGAAAAGCGTCCACTCAGCTATTAACAGCAAAAAACTCGCCTGCTGTATAACCTACATCTACACACACACACACACACACACACACACACACACACACACACACATGTAGTTTAATTTATTTGTTTTTTTTTAATATCCGATTGTTTTCAATGTTCGTTGCATGCATTCTTCAATTATTCATCTCAGTAATTTAGTAACCTGCCATTTATAAATTGAATAAATTATTTTTTGCCTGCCATTAACACGAGCAGGTATATGTTGAACTTTGAACTTTTGAAAGTGCCACATCTCAAATTCTCAATATTTCCATCACCACGTTGTTTCACGTCATTACAGCCTTAGCCATTGACCACTGACGTCCCAACTGAATGCTGTCCTCCAGTGAATGATTTAACAAAACGTCTGCGTGTTAATAATTTGTCTTCATTATATTATCATCTCTACAACATTTCAACTATTTTAATATAAGTTAAATTGTGTATTAACAATATTTTAAATATTTAATGTATCACACAAATTGCAGCGGTGCATATAATGTGTACCATAATATAATGTTTAGTTTGATGCTCTAATTAGTTGTATGTTTACTCAATGAAACATATACCAGTGTTTTGAAGTTTTTGTGTTTGATATGTTCGCATGCTTCAGTGTTGCAGGTGTCACTGACTGCAGAGTGTTCCTCTCCTCATGGTGAATCATCTCTACGTCCTCATCGGGAAGATTCCCCCTCACGAAACTGTAATAAAGTGTGTGGTATTTCATAAAATTATTTGAAACAAACCGTAAATTTTTGTCAGTTTTCGAGCGACTTCAATTTTTATTTAGGAATAACTGGTCCTCGTTTCTCATTCAAAATTTTTTTCGAAATGTATCAAAGCATCATTGCATCTAACATTATTTACAAGCATCCTCGTTTCCTTACTGTTTTCGACATCTGATGTTTTATTTTCCCATAAAAAGTACATTAGTAATCCATGAATAAATAATAAATTCTCCGACATCTGATGTTCCATTTTTTAATAAAAAGTACATGAAACAATTTTAAATTCAATAAAATCGTGTGAGGGTCCAGTCATTCATTTGTAACATTTCACGAAGTCAACGTTTGTTTCGGAATTGGAGGGGGACCGCGTCTGTACTGGGTCGTACCGCGAGTGGAGGTTTCCTGTGTGTGTGTGCGTGTGTGTGTGTGTGTGCGCGTGTGTGTGTGAGTGTATAAGATGTTCGAACAAAACAAACTCTAGTTAGATTGAACTGTAGGGTTGCATTAAAGTTTGATACTTGAAATGTTTATTCAGTTTTTGGGACAGCCTTCAAACACACACTTACACACACACACACACATGCACACACACATACACACACATCAACACCACATACACACAGACGCACGCACGCATACACACACACACACACACACATATATATATATATATAATATGTACTTTTACTATGGGATATTTTTTATACATTCTTTAATGTTTGATTGCCACAATATAAACTCCATGAAAATTCAAATGAGTTCTTCTTATTTAATATTCGAGCAGTCAGTCAGTCAGTCATGAGGTGTCGCGTTCAGTTAAATATGATTTCAAACCTGTACAAAAATTATTTCAAAAAATTATATGAAGTCTTCTTCATTATTTACTTATTTTATTTATTTATTTATTTTATTTATTACAACTCTCCCTTTAAAATTTTTCAGAAACAACAACAAACACACAGTGCATGTAAATACCCGTGAAACAATGCACGTTCGTATGTATTCGCATGTTCGTACGTGTTTTCATGTTCGTACGTGTTTTCATGTTTGTACGTGTTCGCATGTTCTTACGTGTTCGCATGTATATGAGAATATCTTTGTAAACTGAATCAATCATTTCTGTGACAAATTTGTTTTTACAATGGTCCCTCCAGATGGCTCATGTGTTAAGCAGTGTGATTGCAGGGGATGGTTTCTTCGAACGCAGCACACGACACGCAGCAGGTTCCTACTCGCCGCAAGGTTTGATGAACGTAACAACGATGACTATGGCGAGGACTATGATGGCTTGTGGCCTTGCCTGAAATGTGTCGTGCGGCTGAAATCTTTTTTCTTGCTTGTCAAATTTCTTTTTAAATCTTTTGCTATCACAACCAGTGGCTTTGTACAGAACTTCACTTAATTTTATTGGTCTGTGGTAGTTTTCAATCAAATTTTTTACAAAATTTTCTGAGATTTCATTCGATTTTGTCTCAAATCTGGTAAAACTTTTCATTGTTGGGTTGCTTACGCCTCTGATGATGCTGATTATATTGTTAAGGTAGGAAGTTTCATAGAAGATGATGACTACGAAATGATGATGAAGAATGTGATTAAGAGAGTGATGACGGCAATGGTGATGATGACAGCGTTGATAAGGATGATAATGATGATGATAATCTGAATTTGAAAAATTGAAATAAAAAAAAATTTACGGAGTTTAATTTTAGAAATCATTACTGTGAGTGTTCAAAGAAACTTTTCAATCTCGTATATCTTGTGGTATGCTGCGTGCCTGTGTGTGTGTGTGTGTGTGTGTGCGTGCGTGTATGTGTGTGTGTGTGTGTGTGTGTGTAGAAACATAAATCAAATATGACAATGAATGGTGATGACATTTCCTGACGAAGTGCTTCTTCTTCCTCATCTTCATTTCATCTATCACCTTCAATACATATCTGACCTATCATGACATCTAGCTTAACTTTCACACGTAAGTATGTTGTGACGGCACAGCAAAGTGGTCCAGCAGTGTTGCCTCAACGATAACCCCGTTAATTTTCCTATATTTCCAAACTCTGCAGCTTAGTAAGCGCCATGTTATCTCCGCTGATGTGAGATGGGTAGCAATAACAGGTCACCTTCTTAAGGACTGCAATTAAAGTTAGGTCGCAATGGGGGGGGGGGCTCTGCAGTGAGCCAGCAAGCATCTGGATGTTGATGTGAGCATGCTAGTTTTATGCCAGATATTTTGTGTTTCTTATTACACATAAACACACATGTATATGAATATATTATATATATATATATATTATATATATATATATATATACATGTTTGTTTTGTGTGTGTGTGTGTCTGTGTGTGTCTGTGTGTGTATGTAGAATTGTTGGAAATAATTGCTCATTTTGCTTTTATTATTTTTTAAATGAAACTTCAACATGTCTGAATTTTGTGAACTCGTATTTAATTAAAAGTGAAAGCATTTTCAGGCCAACTGCACTGTTTCGGAAAACCACCTTCAAAGCCGTATCAAATGAATGTATCATTTGAGTTATATACTTACGAAAATTAAATGTAAATTGAAATGATATGGAAAGTTTAATTATAAAAAATTTTGCTGGTAATATGTTTGGTAGATGGTGGAATTATCATCCGGTCTGGCAGCATATAAATGTGAGGAAAGTTGATCTGTAAGACAAACTTGCAAGGGCAAATGAAGACGACTTATGAGGACGACCACATCACGGTATGCAGCACCTTTATGATGATAATGATGATCATTTTTGAAATTCTAGAAACGACTCGTTAAATGATATATATTACAAAGAAATGATTTTCTGGCGTTTAACTTTGCTTATCGATACTTATTGTTACATTTATTATAAGTTATTATTATTATTTATATTATTAAGTTATTATTAATATTATTATATAAGTTATTACAAGTTAACAATGTTTCTGCCTGTATGGTGCTTCGTTGAATCCTTTTTTAATTCGTCAGTAAAGAGGAATCCAGCTTAAATATTTATACTCTAAAATAATCCTTGCCGTGATATTCAAATTTGTTGTTTTTATTTAGAATTTTTTGTTTTGTCGTCACATCGTTCGAGTCATTCGTATGCTTCTATTTATTCGTGCATGTGTTTTTGTTGTTGTTGCCATTGTTTGCAGTACTTACAAAGAACTCGTTTCAAGAAAATAATAAATTTAACATGTCATGAAGTCTATGCTTAATTGTAATCTATCTCAACAGGCTCATGATGCCACATGTTCTCAACAGCTGCATGCAACTACTACAACAACCACAAAATTCTGGATGTCAGGCGAGGTGCTTTAAACAACCAACAAAAATGTATAATTAGATAAATAACAAATTTTAAATCTGATGGAAAAAATTTTAAAAAGTTAAAAAAGTATTCAACTTATTTCAAGGTAGACACCCAAAGTTGATTGGAAAAAATGGAAACAAAAAATAAAGGAAGCATACTCTAAAAAATTAATCCGATTTATTTGCATTCAAATTTCAAATAAATTTTATATGCATTTATCATATATACAATATATATATTGTATATATATATATATATATACACACATATTGTATATATATATAGTGTATATATATATATATATATTTATCGTAAACATAGTAAACTTATCATTGGGTAGAAACATACCTTGTAAGTAAGGTAGCAGAATGTCTTGCGACAGACATAATCGACCACCTCAGACTCATCAGCATTGAAACTGTTTCGTGCTATCATGTCTTCAAGAGGAGGTAAGAAGAGGTTAGACCTGAGGATGCCCAGCCGTCTACCTCGTTTCGGCCTTTGACTATGTATGCAAAATATGCATAGATGTCGAGTACGGCATACTCTAACCAGGGACGGTTCGTGGTTCGAACATGTTTTGGCGGGAGATTGGAAACTCAACAATGACACAAACTGATTGAACGTTTTGATAGGTTTTGACCAACGTTCATTCTGCTTACATATTTGATTTATTTCGGACATTGTATATGTGAGAGCGCTTTTGTGATGTTTTTATAGAGCGCTATATAATTATTAATAATAATAATATAAATACGGTGTGATGATCTGCATGTGCGTGCAGGGGTGAAAATTGGTTCCCAATGGTGCACCTCTGCTCGTGGTGGGAGATGGTGTACAAAATGTGTCGGCTTGTGTAAACCAAGCACAGTTGAAATCTTAGTTGAAATGAATATTAAATATCTGTGTGTGAGAAGTATGTGTGGGAGTGCGTGGGAGTTAATTTATACGCCATAGCACTAAGCAGCAAGATAAAAATGATCAACATATTCAGCATCGTGCTGATTGATGGGTTGATTTAGACTTCGGGTTATGTTTATAAATAAATAATTTGTAGTTAGAAGAGATATTATGAAGTCCTTCAACGTAAAATGAGAAATAAACAAAGCTGATGAAATTCCTCGTGTATTTTGTTGAAACATGGATGAAGGATATTCTGAAGGGCGTCTGAAATAAATCGTGAACGTTAAGAGGAAAAGATTTTTAATTTTTTCCTCAATAATTTCCAATCAAAAATTTTTTCTATAACCATAAAAACGAATCCTCAAAAAAGTGATCTTATGCCCCCAACGTTCACCTGTCCCAATTTGAAACCTGTCCACCACCTTTGATGGATTACTTTTCCTTTCCGAGCTCACATTTTTAAAAAGCAAGTATTCTCTGCAGCTTCAAATTTGTATATCACATTTTTTTGTTTAGACCAGTTTTTTTTATTACATTGATTTACTCTTTGATAAGCTCAATGCTGAAAATTTTAATCATTTTTCTTTCGTAGCTTATGTCTTCTTATATCTACGTTCAAAACCTGTATTTATGTGATTGAAATCAATTAATAATAAAAATAAGACATGAAGTAATGGCACTATGAAAATAATTTATAAAAATGTGCTTCAATTGCGAAAATAAATTTATCAAAAATGTTTTAAAAAACTACAAACTTAAAAATCATGCAGGAAGGAAAGCCAGAGTAACTTGCTGAAAAATTTCAGCGTTTGAAAATATTACGTTTTGGTTTTTTGCAATGTCTGAGAGATTTTAAATTAATTTAACTAAACAGTTTGCTTGATTTTTCTTATAAGAACTACTATTTAATAAAATTTTGCTTCTACTTATACCCGGTAATTTTATTCAAATAAATTAAAGATTTGAGGTGAAACAGGTTTGCGTTATTTTGAGAGATTTTCATAACACGATTGCATAAAAGTAAAAGGCTATGAAAAAATTGAAAACAATATTAATTTGATAAAAGTGTGCGTGGTATAAAAGAAAATTTTGATTTTGATTTTGTAGAAGCAGCAGTAGAAACCATAAAACTATTGATTTCTAATTTGAAGGTATTTTATTTTGTGATGGGGGCTAATAAAAACAAACAAGATGGCCACCACGTATCTTTTTCCCTATAATGGCTTCACTTTCAATTCATTCTCCTTCTTATCTAACTTTAACATTATATATGTAGTTATTTATTTGCCGGTGTGCTACTGCATATGTAAGGTGTATAATATGGCATTAAACCAGTATTTCTCAAAGTTGGCGATAGTGCGCCCACAAGTGGTGGGGGTGGCAGGTTTTGGCAAAATTTGAGAACTTAAGAAGTTTTATGCTTATGTATTGATCATTTTTTGTTCGGAATACAAATACTTTATCTTTGAACCTATTAAAATTGAATTCCATGCTAACCCATCAACGTCAATTCGTAAACGAAGCTCAAAATTTTCAGAATGCAAAAAATGTATTCGCAAATTAAAAAAAAGAATATAATAAAATACAATTTTTAAAAATGGCTAAAATGATCAGAATTTTTATAAAATGTATACAAAATATTATTAAATTGAAATAATACAAATTTTAATTATACAGTAATCGAGTTTTATACATTTTTTAAAATTTACGTACATTACGTTAAAATAAATTAATTAAATTAATATAATCCAAATCCAAAGATTTTTTATGATATTGTTATAACCGTGCTACCGAACGCACTAGAACATTCTAGAATATGTTAGAATCGGACCATCTAGAAGAATCTAGAAACGACGTTTGCGAAGAGATTAGCGATTAGTGAAATTCGTGATTTTGTAAATTCGTGACTCGTTGAATTATTTAAAGCGATATTTGATCTGTTTTGTTGACGTTGTCATAACGATAGATTTTGAACAATTTAAAAGTTAATTGTTGTGTAAATTTGGAATTTGCTAGAAATAAACGATTAGTTGATTTCTTTTGTAAATAAAGTTTAATAACTAATAACTGTTTGGAGTATTTTATTCAATCGAAGATTCGAACCCGTCGCATCGTAAATCGGTTACGACAGCGAGTATTATAACAATATTACGAGTAGGTACCAACGCGTGGACCGCACTATTAAATATATACAAGAGCCAAAATATATTTGTTATATTATTATTAGATTATTTATATATAAAGCGCCCTTTATTATTCTCAAAGGCGCTAACAATGTAAAAGTTGATTAAATGCGCCAATGCAAAAGTTGATTAAATGTTTCACTTCAATCAAATCATATCATGAAAAGTTTGTCTGAAAAGATAGTTCTTTAAATTATTTCCTAAGTATTTATCAGATATATTAATTGAACCTAAACGTCCCGGTTTACGATCGTCTTCTTCTCGCTTTTTCTTAACTCGTGTTAAACACTCTTTTGCCAAATCTGCATGATACTGAACACGATACTAAATCATCGACTACAACACCAAACGACGAGAGAGAGGAGTTGGCTATTATTTGGATGTCGTCAGCAAATGCATGAAACTTGAAATTGTACGACTCAATTATTGTGTAAACAAAGCAAAAAAAAAATGAGACCTAAGACGGAGGAAACCTGTGGTACACCGTATGACAAAACATCGACAGCTGCCAAATTTGTTTTGATTAAAATTTGTTGAGTACGACCAGCAAGGTACGACACGAACCACTTGTGAACGACTCCCGATAGTCCAAATGTTTGCTTCAGTTTTTGCTCGTCCATTGATGAATACAACCTTGACGAAACATCAATAAAAGCTGTTTCCGTCAAGTGAAACACACGATAACCCGACTGGTGAACCGGCAGAAGATTATGAATTTTAAATGAAAAGCAAATTGTGATAAAACGATTCTTTCAACCAACTTTGACAAAAACATAAGGTTAGATACAGGTCGGTAATTTTTTAACTCATGTCTATCAAGAGAATTCTTCTTCAAAATCGGTGTAATCATTTTTAAACGCAGATGGAAATGAGCCAGAACTCAAACACAAATTTATGAAAAACGTTAAAAACGGTAAAAACAAATCAACAAATCTTTTAAGTATCTTTGTGGGCACACAATCAAGAAAACAAGATTTTGATAGAGATTCTAAAATGACTTTTTTTTATGTAGCTGTCAGTACAGGGCGAGAAGTTTGAAAAAAAAAGATTCTTCATCAAGATCACATGAAGTGATGGTTGGTTCATCACAATGATTGGTTAAATTACGAACATCATCAATTTTGCTTTTGAAAAACTTGGAAAAGTCAAGAGAACTATGATCAACTTCTGATACATCCATTACCTGTTCCATTCCAAGCAAACCGTTAACGGCATTCCAAAGACGTTTTGGTTTGTTACTATTTGATTCCACCAAGTCTTTCCAAAAACAATTTTTTTTTGACAAACAAGCAATATTTATCTTTAATAGCTTGTCGCCAGATATTCTTATTTTTATCACTTGGGTTGTTTCGATAAACCAGTTCTAATCTGCGACATAGCCTTTTCAAATCCCTGCACTCTCCGTCGAACCAAGGGACTAATGGCACATGTTTAGAGTTGACATAGTGTAGTGGAGCCACTTCATCAACAACCTTCCTCATCTCACGATCAAACAACACAAATGCATCATCCACGCCACGTCATCACTATCAAACGGACTGATTGGAGAGTTTAAAATTAGTGATTTAAAACGATTTGTATCCAAACGGTTCCAAGAGCGTACCAACCGCCTTGTTGTCGATGGTAGCCTGACACTGACCGAGAATGAAACATTAATCAGACCATGATCTGAATAAACACCACTAGGATCCACTCTACAATTAGACAAAGGAATATCAGGAGTGGACACAACTAAATCAAGTGTGCCACCCAAGTTATGGGTAGGCTCATTAACCACGTTTGTTAACTGAAACGAATCAAATATTTCAAGCAGATTAATTGAGTGTGTATCACCAGGCCTTTCAATATGAATGTTAAAATCCCCAGCCACTATCAAACCATCACCCAATGCAAATAAATGTTCCAACACCGATGTCAGCTCACCAAAAAACAAAGATGTGACCAATTTTGAACCTGGTCTGTAAATACCAAAAACAAAAACTTTGCGACGCTCAAAAGAAAATTCAACTATAATAGCCTCGAAGGTCTGAAAAACCGGAACTTCAATTTTCCTGGCCTTGAACATCTTCTTGAAAAAAACAATAAGACCACCATGGTAAGAATCATGAGGCCTCAACATTTGCAAGAAACTAAAACCTGGCGGCATGGCCAACTGAATAGAAGGATCTACAGGAGAACCATGCCACGTTTCACACAAAAGGAACAATAACTGGACGTGGAGTTTTGGAATCATCAATTTTCCTCCCTTGTCTGGTGACTCTTAAAATATCATCATCCTTGATAGAGTTATCAGTGAGAGATCGCAAAATAGCAGAAACTGAATCATTGTCCTTTTTATTAGATTCAATTAAGTTGAAAATAATGACGTTGTTTTCTCTCTCTTTGATAGTATTCACCACTTCGAGGGTACGCTGCACAACCTTGACGTCATTTTTAACCGCATCGATACCCTGTTTGACTATACCAGTCCAAGATTCATTTATCTGCTGCTTGAAATTGTCAAATGATTTATCGAGCGTATTGTCGACGCTGTTGATCTGGTTCAACCTATCACCATTTGCCACTACCAATTGCTTTAGTTCGCAAAAATCTTTACATAACGCGGTTGTATGTTCAGAAATCTTTTTAATTTCCAATTCTATTTCATCATTTTTATCCAGAATTGGTTTGGTCACTGTTTTCAAACCATCGAAAGACCTGAGGCAACCATCGCAAATGTATCTGAGATTTCTACAGTTGTTCATGGCAGGCAGAATGTCTTTATGTACACTTTCTGCAGGCGGAACATAATCACAAAAATAGCATGTAACGCTATTAACACCAACTTTGATGCCTTTAGTAGTCGAACGTGTATCTTTAGACATAATGCTTCACAGGCAAACAGTGAAAATAATAAACCAAACTATTTATAATCTTTTGCAGCAAAACAAAATATCGAGGCACAACAACACAGGTGTCAAGGTGATAAAAAACGTAATTAATTCTAAGAATTTCTACAAAGTTTTAAGCGCCAAAATCAACGTGCAACGCCAAAATATTGACAAAGTAATGTCAATTATATATATATATATATATATATATATATATATATATATATATATATATATATATATATTATTAAGAAAAACTTAATATAACGTTCAACGTTCGTTATAGCAGTTTTTACAAACGCTATCAAATTATAACTAGTAATAAAATATTTAGTTATATAATTAATTAATTGAATGACAAGTCGATTAATTAAACATTAAACCTGAGTACATTTTGTTTCAGACAACTTGTAGTGCTCTCACTATTATATTATTATTACTATTATTGACAATAATAATAATATGCTAAATCGCACATCGCTATTTTTTGAATAAATTTTAAAATATATTGGCGCTATTGCGTGTTTACCCTTGTTTTAATTCTGCTTCTGTTGATTAATCTTTTATTTTCGTTACTGTGTTTTTGCGCATAGCCGCTGTAAAGTTATTAATTATTAACTCAAGTTTTTGTTGAAACATAACTGTGTTGGAAGCGAAATAGAAGAAACGGCAGTACACTTCGGATTATGTTAAAAACGGATTTATTGAAAATCCTTCAAATCCATCTTTGTCTTTGTTTTCTTTGTTAAAAAATCCTTTTAAATGAAGCGATGAAGCCTTCCGGGGTTACGAGATCATTTAAGTAAAAGTTATTCAGACAAAACGAACAAAAATTTCTTTTAAATGTAAAGTTTCAAAGCGCAGGGGGCACTAGAAAAATTATTTCATAAAAGTTTGTGGTGGAAGAAATATTTTGAGAACCACTGCATTAAACAATTAAGTTGGTGCTTGCATGCTCTGTTTGACTTCACACCAATCGAAAAGTTAACTTGTCATTTAGTAAATGGTGATTCTTTTTTACACACGCAATCAATGATAGTAAACGAAAAATTAACATAGGAGAAATGTAACAGAGCAAAAATTTACAAATTCTATTAAATCTCTCTCATAACACGTGGCGATGCACATAAACGTAGCACATCATGGAATCCATGCAAACTCTTTTTTGCTCCAGTTGCACTCCTTTTAAATTATGCCTGTTCATGTGCATGAATGAAAAAGCACGAACCAAATATCATAAACCGCGGAATATCTGATAACATTATATAACGATGCTGCAACAATTTCTAACGATGCAAGGCCTGAACGATGAAACAGGAAACATTTTTTTACCAATGGAAAATACTTTCTCATTTCTACTATTTTTTTTAATTTGATTTAAGTTTTAATTAATAATTATCATTCTTAAAACTTCATATTTTTATTTCATTTCATCCAATCAGTAGGATTTTTCCGGTTAATTTAATTTTATTATTTTAATTACATTAAAACGAAATTGTTGCCACATTTAACTTCCAACGTCTTCAGTTCATATTTCACAATTTTGCACCAACCTTCACAAAAGCAACCTAGACAGTCCCAGCAACATCAGAACCAACAGCATCAGAACCAACAGCATCAGAACCAACAGCAACAGCATTTCCACCCACAACCCTTCTAACCACAGAAGCCTGGCAAATCCTCGACGACAACCAAGACATGAGTGAGCACAAAAAGCAACTTTAAATGCTTGTATATAAAAGATTCGCTTAAAAACTAGCCATTAAAAATTTTCAGAAAAAAGTTTGGTGACGCAAAACACAACCGCCACGTTACATTTGATGAAAATTCAATTTTGAGTTGCACGAACAAATAAAAAAACATTAACAAAAAACAGGGAAGCAAATAAATGCAAGAAGCACATTGAATGAAGCCAAACATCTGGCCTCACATGTCATTTTCAGAGCAAAATAAAGTGCTCAACACTTAGGCGTTTAAAAACGCAACGTCAACAAAAAAAATGACGATGTTGGTTATAAGACGAAACGAGGAGTCATACAAACTTTGCGTTAAAAATCGTTCGGTTGATATTTCAACAAAATAACTGCATCAACATAAAATTCATAAAAATAACAAAAACAACATCATGCCGAAAACAACGGCATGGGAACAAATGGCACATGCATCACGTCACATCACACAAAAACTTGCAGCTGATAAAAAACAACTCGACCAGAAAACATTTGAAAAATGTGTGGTGGCAGTGGTCAGCGGGTGAATGGTCTGCACAGCGGTCTGCTATTGTATATGTGGGAAACAGTTGAACGTTGACATGTCGATGGATTGATATATGTTTGTTTATATGGGTCAGTTGTGTGCAATGTTGCTGCTTGTATGTCCTGTTGTCTAACAGTACATTAAACACATTACGTTAAATGTTTGCCTGTGCGTGTCTTATTAATTGGTGTAATAACATTTTACGTTTTAGACGTGTCTGTTCACAGAAAATTTAGAAAATTATGAACTGTTTGTTGGAGTGTTAAAGGACTGCAAATGTGAAGGCTTGTTTTATTTTGACTACTCAATGTTCACGTTCACTCTTATAAAAATTTTGAATTGTAAAAATTATTTCTAATAAACATTTAATGTGAAAAACGTTTCGTGAATAAACTTTTTGATTTTATATTTTCACCTCAAATAAATCTCTTTCAACTATTTTTAATTATATTTTTATCATAATTTTTCAAGTTATTATATAGAAAAAAAAGTTTTTAACAAATCTTTAATTTATTTTATCTTATATAAAAAATCTTTTTTAACCGAAAAAAGCTTTTTCTGTATAAGATAAAATGAATAAAAAATTTGTAAAAAACCTTGTTTTCTATATAAATAATTATATAATTAAAAAATAGTTGAATCAGAAACTGATCAGAGCAAAAATTTCAGTGATATTTATCAACTATATATATATATATATATATATATATATATATATATATATACATATATATATATATATATCATTAAAAATGGTTGCCCAGCGTGCGTTTATAATCTTTTTTATTAAAACCTCAACACTTCTGAGTTTGTTGAATTTATGTTTATTGAGAGGAAAATTATTATTGAGCTTGGCTGACAGTACCGTTTCGGAGTTAACCATCGTCATTTTTAATGACATTTGTATTAAAGAGAGCCTCGCTCCTAAATATATATATATATATATATATATATATATATATATATATATATATATATATATATATATACCTACATACATACATATAGTTATATATAGCTAATTATTTTACCGATTTTTTTACTTTTAGCAATGACATTCAAACGAAATTTACTAGACACACTTCCCTTTTCTATCCCACATTCTGAGATTAAAAGTTTTTCATTCCAGCATCAAATATAATGGTTCCGAGGGTATAGAATACTGTATTGCCACATGAAATTAAAGCGATTAATTCATTATAATTATTTAAAAACAAGTTAAAAACATTTTTAGATAGAAAAAACATTTATTTTAAATAATTTTACACTATTATTAACTTTAATGTTCTTTGTGAGTGAATTTTCTATCTCAGTTTTGATTATATTATTACCCTTTGAAAATATAACAGTATTATGATATGAATTATAGTATGGTGCAAGTTTGTAAGTGTGCGTGAGTTTATGTGTATGTATTTATTTGACATTTCTGTTGCATTTATAGTTAGAATTTTTTTTTTTAATTTCGGGTGGCCTATCCACAAGTTTATCTTTTTTGGTCATCTTTCAAATAAATAAAAATAAAATTCAAATTGTATATATATATATATATATATATATATATATATATATATATATATATATATATATATTGATCGTTTTCGTTTGATGTTTGGTCGTTATTTTTATGATTCAAGAACGAAATGTCAACTGTTGGAACAGGATGAAAAAATCATAAAAATTTTCATGCAACATAAAAATGCAACAATTAAATTTTCAAATTTTCATACAATTATAAATTCAATTTGAAAACAATGACGAATTTTAAGAAAAAAAGCCGAACAAAAACACAAAAGTTTGTTGACCTGCTGTGTTAGTGACATGTGCTCAATCAATCGCACAATTTCATCTCACCCATTTTTCATTTCATTAAATTTATTTTTAGACATATCTGTAAGAGATCCGCCACTGACAGTGTTGTTGTTGAATGTCTTAAAGGTTAAACAAGACTGCAGTTGCAGCGTTCACGTCAATTATCATTTTTCACAAGTTTCCCTGTGATGCTTCAGAAATTTTCGATAGAAAGTGATGATGAAATTTGTTATGTTTGAAGTAATGAAAAAATTATCAGCATTAAATTGATCTCGCGACCTGAAACGCAAACAATTTTATATAAAAAAAATTTCGCAGGCTCCTATGGGACAACATAAAATGCCTGCCTACGAAACAGGCAATAGTTGCTGGACTAAAAAAGTCGTTGAACATAAATACACGCGTCAAACTGTTATGGGGGTCGTGCGTTATCAAAAATGTTAAAATTTCAATTATTATTTAAAATAAATTAAACTTGTCAGAATAACATTTGGTTGCATTTTTTAGGTGTATATTATCAAAAATTGAAAAGCTTTATAACCATTATAACAATATATTAAAATGAATTTTAATTAAACTTTGCGTTTTCGACAGCGTCTGGATCAAAATGGACATCAGTTTTATAATTTATGGTTTATGCTAACAAATAAGAAACGATGTGTTATGTTTTAAATAAAAAATTAACATAAACACTAAGTATAAAATTGTTTGAAATGTGATGTATTTTTCTGAGATTAATAAACTTGTTTATGTAAACATTAAAAATTAAGAAAATGTAAAATAAAGTATCAAAGAAAGATAAAAAAATATTTTAACTCTGGTTTAAAAGAGAGAAAAATTAATGTAAATTGAAAACTTGAATAGCTGAAATTATTATGTAAAGGACAAACAGCAAATAATGTCAATTGTAGCATTTAATTTAGGTTAATATTTAATATTGATATTTTTCAGATACATTTTTATACTTCAACATTTAAACTTTAAATTTTAATGCTTCGTCAACCATACCGGACCTGACGTAACTCCATGTTTGTTTACCAGAAAGTCAAAAAAGATATAATCATACTGCCAAAACAAAAAAAATTACAGATGAAAAAATGTCAAAATGACGTTAACGATAACATTTTATTAAAGTTTTGTTACTTTCTTTTCACGATGGTGAAAAATAGCATGCTTGTTGTATATTAACGTAGTAATGTTGAGGGTGCTAATGGATTATTAAATATAATTTTTATTCGTTAGATTATTTTGACACTTTAATTAGTCTTGAAATGTTTTTATAAGACATACTTTTGAAAGTTGTACTAGTAAAATGCAAAGTGTTCTGGAGTTTTTAACTTCATTATCACGATATTTTTTGGTTGAGTTTATTTTACATACAGTTGTTACCATATATGCTGAATCAAGATATATATTCAAATTAAGATATATAGTTGTGACAGTGAAGAACAAAAAACAGAAAAACTTTTCCAGGATTAGAAGACAACAAACACGAGCAGCTTGGATTTGGAAACTCGTGGCCGAGTGGTTAGCGTGTCTGTCTACCACTCCCACGACCCGGGTTCGAATTCTGCAGTTTCTACAGGTTCATCCGGGTAGCCGACTCCCGGTCAACCCAGCCGTCCATCCTTTCGAGGCTGGTAAATGGGTAGACGACGTAAGTTGTCGCTGCTGGCCGGCGAGGTGGCTCAGAGGTTCAAATGCGCGCTGAGTCAAAGACATCTCAATGGCTATCATATACTCAGCGTATATGATGCGGTGCTTGCGCGTGCACTAAATACATGTGTACGTCGTGTGAAAAGGATAAAACAGCCTTTGTGGCGAAGATGGCAGCTTCATATCATTGGTTGAAGATATGAAGAACATAATAAAGATATATAGATAATATATCTGTAACATTGTAAGTGGTTCTGCGTATGTCAGAGCTGCAATAATAAAGACTAATAAAAAAAAAAAAAAACTAATTTATGTAAATCCTCTTTGTTTCGATTTGCTAACCACTAGCTGAGATAAAGTTTTTAAAGACCTTTGCAGATTTCTAAAACAACTCTTGTTAATTATTCTAAAACATTCAGGATCAAAACTATGAAAATACCTGCAAAACGTATCTAATAATCTCGTCATTCTTTTCACTACTTATAGACATTTTTTTTTGTCATTCGTAAGTCAACTGTAACAATCGAGTCTCCCTCTCCTGCACATTTTCGGAACTGAAAACTATTCTTTTCTGCCCAAATGTATTTTAGTAAAGTTCCATACTCATTTCTCCGCCTTCATCAGATTAAACTTGAGAAGCCAATGATCTGAGAAAAATCTAATCTATCCATGTTATCCCGTGGTTTGCCACAATCATTAAATTATATTCCACTATCATTTGTCATATGCCAGCTTCATTATACCCTGTATAAAATATGTCTTTGACCCCTGCCGCTTTTGATTCCAATAAAATCTAATGGAAAGTAATCTGTACAGCAATTTCCATTCTAAAATTTCACGGATTCTAAGACGGGTTAAATTGAAATTTATATATAATATGTGTTCAGGCCGAAACAGCATAAATGGAAGTCACTTATTATAATTCATTACGTAAGTTAATAAGTGTTGGTTAACCTATTATTGATGCTCATTTTGTCATTTCCATGAAGACGACCTTTGTGATTTATTGAAATAAGTCTGGTTAAAAATAAATTTTTTATTTAGAAGTGAATTTGAGTTTATCAAATAGTTGTAAGCACACACAAAAATAATTAGTTTATTATACACGTATATATCATAAAGTTTAATTTTAAATGGCAAACATTAAAAATGAACTATTTGTTCCACATTGTGAAGCGCATTTAATTTCATGTGTGGTGCTCTTCAATCGTTAGGACTGTAGGTAGCTGTGAATGTGGTTTGAAATAGGATCGGTGTTGTTGTTTTGTGTTGCAAAAGTTTTCATTTTGGTTGACTTTAAACTCCCGTTTGGTCATTTCCATGTGAATCGAACTCGTCGCTACAATTTTTTTTGCCGACAAAAGCTAACTCGAGCTAACTTGCAAGGAATCTCAGTTTTATTTTTGAATTAAAATTTAAAAATTAAAAGTCAGCAACAGGAAGCGCAGTTGAGATTTGAAAGGTGTACGGACAACAAACTCCTGATTTATTCGCTGCAATAAGAGTTAAATCTCCCCACCTACCTAACTAAGTTCTTCTGAAACCGTCAGAAGCATCGGCAAAAAATGATCAAACCTAATTTTTACAAAATTGAGTTGAACAAGACAGAATGGGAGGTTCCAATGAAGTACCAGAGCCTCACACCTGTTGGATCCGGAGCATACGGACAAGTCTGGTTAGTGCTTTTACTTTCTTTATTTCACTACTATTATTAGATACTTATTTGGTAAGCATATCATCTGTAAAAAAACATAAATTAGCATGGAGCTTCTGGCTATGCAATTTCAAATTTTTAGATGTTTAGCATTTATAACATTAATTTAATTAAATTGTAATAAAAAAGTTATATAAATAATGTATTGAGGGTTTGTATTCTATGATATGATATGACAATAATAATATGATATGATGCCATTAACGACAACTGTGACTGAAAAAAATTAAATTGATTTTATTTTAATTTTATTAATTAACTAGTAGGTCATTTCATTAATTAATTAATTTTGTTTTTGAAGATGGTGTTTTTTCATTGATTTGTCCCATTTGCATGTTTAACCAGCTGCCAGAATTTAATAAATAAATTAATTAATCAAATAAATAAATAAAAAGATATTAGTATATTATTCTTTCTCAATAGTCTTTAATTGATTTGTATTCTTGCACACATGAAAAAGCTTCATAATTAGAGTAATTAGAGATAGAATAACACTTTTAGACAAATATAATGAATACACAGCAGATAGAAGCCAATTGAACTGTGCATACAATACACCATACAATGTCTTATTACAGCATAGTTGTTGTACATTATTGGTTTGTTTGTATCCTGTTTTTTCATTGCATCTTAATAAATAGTTTTATAATGTTTTTGACTTATATTCTGGTAATTACTCTTAATTTTTACTTTATTTCACTGGTTTCATTTAGACATTTAATAATTGGAAATAAATTACATACAGGTATACATTAACATTGACAGTGATTTGATTTTTACTACTGTTCTATTATCAAATTTTAAAATTATAAATATCTTGAATGATTCTAGTTCATGAAACTTTCCTATTCTTTGCCTATAGAAATCTTGTTGAGAAGATACTGAATTTTATGTTAAATGTAGTTTCAAGTGTCCTGTCTTTGATGTGTTGAAAATTTGAACATATTTTCTTAACCCACTCCACTCTGCTGACTACTCAGTCTGACTGTATAATACCTATGGTATGTACGCTTGAGTATTTTTGTATTACCATTGTTTTTATTATTAGTCATTATTATGCCTTGAGAATGTATGATATACTTTACGAGAACATTATACATTATATTCTGGTCTGTGTATGTTGGCTTGGAAACTTCTGATGCATGTTTTTTTTGGTACTTTATTTAACATGTTCAGGAGACAAATGTAACATGTGATGAGGACATGAATGTGTTGATTTGTCCATGCATTATATGAAGTTTTTGCCAGGGTTGTCTAAATATTACAAGTGGAATTTGTTGTATAATTTTTAATATTAAATTTCAAATTTCTGAGATTTAATTTTTTTAAAAGTCAAAAAAATTTTTGCTTATTGCTTGTATTGTAATTATTATTATATTATTATTCTTTTTTGTATTATAGTTATTATTATTATTCTTATGACAATTTAAAAATTTTAGCTAAATTCGTTTAGATAGATTGGGTATGGGATATTTTTCTTTGCATCAGTGTTTGTTTGGGTCCTGAAATAGAAATAAATTTAATAATTATGCATGTGTCAGTCAATTTTATTTATACCATGGTTTCTTATTTTATTGTGGTCTGATGTAAAAAAAATAGACAGAGATAACAATTTCTGCAATGTTATTAGGTTAACAGAAAATTTGAAATCATCATTTTGATCATTATATTGGAAGTTATTGTTTTTGGCTGAGATGAAAATGTATTTGTTGAACAGAAATAATTGCATTGAAGTTTGACATGCTTTTTATGCTAACCATACAGTTCGGCTTATGACACAGAACGCAAGATCAAAGTTGCCATCAAAAAGTTGGCTCGACCCTTCCAGACACCCATCCATGCCAAGAGAGCATTCAGGGAGATTCGACTGCTCAAACACATGCACCATGAAAATGTATGTTTATAATGCATATGAATGCAAACACATGCACCGTGAGATGTAGGGTTATAATGCACATGTATGCAAACATCATGAGATGTTTGATTATAATGGTTTTGTTATTGTTATTACTGTTATGTTACATTGCTCCATACATAGTCTAGAAGGCACTTGAAAATATTTGTACACTTTTGTGCACGTAAACATAACTGCTATAACATATGTGTGTTATATTGTTTACATTGTTCACGTTGTTTACATGTAAGTTGAACGAATGTTTAAAAAATTAGATGTAATTTAATGTTAAAAAGAAATGAGTTTTTACCCATTGAAAATTTCTTAAACAGGAACACAAAAATATTATAATCCAAATGAAAACAGGTTCCAATATAATTATTGAATGAAGGTGAACCCAAAGTACAAACCTAAATTGTTTATGTATAATTATGCTATTGAATTTAATTAGTTGAGAAACATACAAAAACATTTTAGGTCATTTTTAATTTTTACAGTTTTAAGATATTTTTAGTTTTCATAACTAATTATCATTATTACAATTTCTCATTTAGGTATTCAATGTTGATAAGGCTGATCAGTAGGAAGGAAGGACATCAGTAGTGTAGGCATCTCAGTTTTTAATACTGGCCTTATAAATAATGCAAAACTTTAAAAAGGCTTTCTGAGAGATGTTCTTTGAGAGATGTTTGTCAGTTGGTCCTTATGAATGCATAAAAAGTGGGTGACAGGGAGTTCATGTGGTTCGTGTTAAATTTTAAGCGGTGTGAGTCATGTCTTTAATATAACAAAGTTTTATTCATATCTAATATGATAAATCTAAAAGTTTTATGAGGGAGCAAACTAGTTATGGAACCACTCCTTATCTTATCATGCAAATGAACATGCCTACTTTCAATTTGTCCTGATTAATTTTTTGGTTAACCATTATTTCCAGAAAAAGCTTGCATGGTTTTTGTGCATCAGATCAGGTGTTTTTTTTACTTCTATTGTATGTTACATTTTCATTTATTATATTATTTATTTATATATTTCAATTGAAACATTCAAACAAACTGATTGTTGACCTCAGGTTATTGGTCTGCTGGATGTCTTCACACCAACCGTTCACACGAAAGATTTTGAAGATGTGTTAGTGTCATCTTCTTTCATCACCCTCAACCATTATCAGTCATTTGTTCAGTACATCATCATTCTTTCATTATTCATCATTCGCTAGTCAACTCTTACCTCATCATTATTCATCATTTGCAATCCCTCATATTATAATTACCCATCATCATCATCGTCGTCGTCATCACTGTTGAGGTCATTATTTTCCATTATTAATCATCATCTATATGAACATCAACATCATCATCGCCATCATCATCATCGTCATAGTTCGATGGTGAATACTTTTGAGAATGCATGTGGGTGGAGTGCACCGTTGAATTTATATACACACACACTCACTCACACACATATATAATTTGACCAATTATTTGTCAGTTACATGGTCAGTTTGTTGATGGGGGCCGACCTGAACAACATCGTCAAGACTCAACGTCTCAGTGATGATCATGTTCAGTTTCTCATCTATCAGATTCTCAGAGGGCTAAAGGTCTTGCATGATGATGATGATGATGCAGTAATGATGATGATGATGATGAGTTTTACTATTAGGATGGGATTGTAGTCATGATGGTAGGGGCAGAGAAAGTGAAAAATTTATTATTGGCAGGGTTACAGGTAATATTTTTGATAAATTGATGTGGTAACTGAAAAACCAAATATATTGATATGTTTGAATAATTTTAAAATGCATGTAGAAAGTATCTTCTTCATCATGTTAGTTAGCATTAGGCAGCTACCATTTCACTTCTTTATATTGAAATACATATTATCAATAGAAGTTAATATATTAGATAATAGCATCAATTAGATTATTAATACCATTGAATATAGATACCAATGTGTTGGAGTCGGTTGAAAAATATCCGTCTCCGACTCCAGCTCCTCAAAAAATCCAACTTCAGATAAAATTTCCGACTTCAACTCCGGATTCCAAATTTTGGAAAAACTTGTCCATCTTTTGTATCATAATTTTACCCTATTATCACTACTAAATTAAAATGGCTTTATAAAACACTTGAAAACAGTCAATGTGATTGTTTTTTATAATAAAATTATTTTGTTTTTAAGTTTTAAAACTTTTTGAAAAATTTTTAAACTTTTGTATCATAATTTCACCTTATTATCACTACTAAATAAAAAATATTTAAAAAAAACACTCAAAATCAGTCAATGTAATTGTTTTTTTTTAGTCAGATTGCTTTGCTATTATGTTTTACAGTATAGTGAAAAAAATTCTGTGATTTTATTCATATTGTTACCATTTAATTTCTGTATTTCAGAGTCACTACACATATTTATCCTCTAAAAAGCACAATCTTAAAAAATTTTTTTTAAATAAATAACATATTCTGACTCCGGCCCCGAAAAAATCTGACTCTGGGCTCTCAAAAAATTCCGACTGGCCAAAATCACCGACACCTTGTTAGAAACGTAAAATATTTTTTTAATAGGATTTACATTTATGATAAATTCCTGTTTAACAGTACATCCATTCGGCTGGCATCATACATAGGGTGAGTTGCTTCACTTATTTTCTGCTTTGTCAGTTTATTATAACATAGTTTTGGGAATGTATTTACAAGTTTATCATTCATTATTTGTGATTTTGATAGTTGGCTTGTAAGAGTGTATAGTCATTTTTCAACCCATGCTATTATTGCAGATTTTAGTCAATTGGCACGAGGGTTGTTCAATTAAGATTTCAAACATTGATTTTTGTAATCACCCTACCAAGTTGTTATGTATATAAATGTTTATTTACTCAAATATTTTAATGAAGTTTGTGGAGGTTTTTATCTAATTATGTAAATACAGCCTTTTGAATTTTTTTCACAAAAATTCAAAAAATTGTTTTTTTTTGGTTTTGTGCTTGAAATGTTATCTCTGGTTGCCTTTAACTCCCCACTAGATGAAGAGTTCAATATGCATTATTACAAAATAAAACTGTGTTTATTGTTGTTGAAATAGTTTAGTTTTCTTTCAATTTGAATTTTTTTTTGAATTGTATGCAAATGTCACTAGTTGTTGGTGTATTAGAATTTTAATTTAAGAAGATTTTAAGGTAACTCTTATAATAATGATTAACTATCAACTTTGCTGTGCATGGCAGGATTTGAAACCGAGCAACATAGCTGTGAATGAGGATTGTGAACTGAAGGTGAGTCTCTGTCTGTTTGTCTCTGTCTGTTTGTCTCTGTCTGTTTGCCTTTGTCTTTCTAGGCTTTGTCGTCATTTGTTGACATGCATTCAATGTTATCAGTTTTGTTACATTGGTTTATCTCATATTGCATCATTTATATTTAGTGTTTGTTTTTTGTTATCAGTTTGCTTTTGTTATTCATATGTGTCGTTTTTGTTTTCACTGTTGTTGTCATTAAACCTGTTTATTAATTTATTTACATAATAAGCAATGAACAATAATAGTAGTAGTGAAAATGTTTATATTCAGATATCATGTAAAATTAATAAATAAAACAAACAATTTTGTACAGCACTTAGGAAGCAATATTATTAAGCAAGCAATTGAATAAGTTGATTGAGTAGTTGGCTATGTGTATTAGCTCCGCAAACCATGTGCTACACCTTGTAATATTGTTATATGTTGTAATGTTGTTGCATGTTGTAACTTGTTACATGTTGTAATGTTGTTAAATGTTGTAATGTTGTTACATCTCCTAATGTTGTTACATCATGCAATTTATCTTAAACTTTGTATCATTGTTACATTCCACACTGCTTCATGCGATGTTGATCAGCTATTTCAAAGATTCCTTCACGAGAAAATGTAAATCAGCCAATTTTTTATGCAATCAGTGCTTATGTTTTCAAAAATATTTTTTTTAAGATCTAATCATTTGAATGAATCGTTCAGTATTAAAAATTTCTGTTTATAATAAATGTTTTTTAAACTTATGCACTGCTCGTACCTCATTTATCTCCAATTCTACCTGTGTCTCAGTTGCAATAAGGTATCAATATTTTTACACAACTGCAGTGATTAAAAAATTATCTCGTGCAATGATACATTTGCAACAGCATCATTGTTTTGCAATTGCATTGTTCCGCACGCACACACACACACACACACACACGCACACAGATACTTGACTTTGGACTTGCCCGCCACACAGATGATGAGATGACGGGGTATGTGGCCACGAGATGGTACAGAGCTCCTGAGATCATGCTCAACTGGATGCATTACAATCAGACTGGTTGGTCGCTTTAGCTGCTTATATTGTGCACAAAATTCTATTAATGTTGGTCTTTTTATAAAAAATATTGTAACATAAAAATATTGGGCTCAAACTCTAGTGTCAATATGCCTTATCTAAAATATTATTTAATTAAACATCTATAAAATTGACACATAAAACAACAATTTGAAAATGCAGTCTTATTTAAATGACTTAAGTTTTTGGCGATAATAGATAATAACTATTACTGCAAATGCCTTATTAATTATGGAATAAACGTGAATATAAAATTTTAAGCTATCACATGAAATATCTAAATCATTAACTTGCTCAAAATATAATGCATCAACCTTCCCAATCTTATAATGCCATTCATCATAAATTTTATTACCAAACCTTTGTGCCATACATTTGATTGCACAATGCACATCCCATCATCAGGCCATTTAACCAGAGCATTCAAGCAGGTTTGCATTTTATCTCTACCATGATTCCTGTCGACAATTTTGATTCATGATATCCCATAAAATGAAAGCATTGAGAGCTGTGATAGCAATCATATTGAAAAATATAACTAAGGGCCAGCACCTGGTAGATCTTTTCACGCTATAACATCGAACCATCTGGTCCATGCTATCAACTCCAGTCGTGCATTATAATATTTGATAACTTCTGGTTTCTTTTAGGTTCTCTGCTATGAATTTCTTGTTGATTATGCATTGTGCTCAAAAGAGTAACTAATTTATATTTTTTAGGAAAATATGAAACCAAAATAGCATTATCTTGAAATGAAAATTTTGTGGAATAAAATTTTCTTTTTCTTGCCATCATTATTTCTTTTGGTAACTCCATTTGACTTTTTCTCATAGCTCCAACAATTGTCAAATTTTTTGCAATAATTTTTTTGCCACTGATAAGCTTGTGAAGAAATTATCGCAAGTTATATTTCTACCAGAGCCCAAAATATTTTCAACTAGTTCTGTTACTACTCTTTTTTCTTGATTTTCATCTCTGGGCTAATCATCTTTTTTCCCAGTATAAATTTGCATTTTTCATGCATAATGAGTAGAACTATTACATAATACCCCAATCTCTCGAATAGTTACTAGCTGCTCATCAATGGTTACATTGGTTCCAAAATTATATGCATCTTTTAGTGTGCTGTTCCAGTTTTCAAAAATAGATCTTATAGGATGCAATTTATTTTTGGATTGCTTCTTTTTTCCGGCAATTGCAATCAAACCTAAGAACTCTTAAAATTTGTAAAAATCTGTTACTACTCATTTATTTATTGAAAGTTGGTCTTCCATTTTTCATATTCCAAAAATCAGAAATTGATTCAGTTTTAGATTTATAAACCCCTATCAATATTGTTATACTAATTATTATTGTTATTATGGACGTGCCCCATAACGGGATGCTGCCGTGTTCACAAGGTACTTCAATTTCAAGCGATCATGAGCTAGTCTCCAGGCGTAGTAAGGACCGTAGTTGATGAGTGAAAGGTCCTTCTACACTGAGCGGATCCATGACTGTCCTGGACGGCCGCGCAGTCGAGTCCAGTCCGGTGGCGGTCGGTTTATGACAGCTTTTAAAGCCCGGTAATGATCCTCCATAGGGCTGGCACGAGCTATGTGACCAAAGAAGTTTAGACGATACCTGAAAAGAAGTGAGGAAACAGAGGGCTTTTGTGTTCTTCTCACCTCAACGTTAGTGACGCGATCGCGGTAGGTCAGACAAAGGATCCTGCGCAAGCACCATTGATCTGTAGCGTTATACCAATCCATTATTGAAATTCATTTCTATCTATAACTTTCCAGTCTGATATTACATTTTCTCTCTCTATATTTGTTCACGTGCATATTTCATCTATCAATTTTGAACGAAAAAAAAGATTGAAAAAAGATGTCATACTATCACAGTTTTTCTTTGAAAAACTAGTCAGTACTTGACTAATATTTACAATATTATGCTGCGAGTGACTACCAATTTTATTTTTTATAGGCTCAATGGGCCACATCTCCTTATTTTCTTTAGATTTTATGAACAAATTTCCATTAACAATTTTTGATTTTGTATCTGGTACTGAAATATCTGCTTCATCACAATCTGATGAGGACGAGTTATTTGGCACTTCACTTTCACATCGGCTAATTCATCCCATTCATCATTGTCCATAGATTGTTCTTCTACTTCACAATCACTTTCTTCATCACCCAGCAAATTCAAGACTTCAGGCAAAGAAAACAAATTTTTTGAACTTTTTTTCATTATTTTGAATAAATTTATTAAAATAAAACGAAATGATAATTATTAAAACGATTATTCAAAACTAGCAGAAAGGAAAAAAAATTGAAAAAGCTAAATAAAACAAGTGCCAATTGAGTATTTTTTTTAAAATGGTCGGGGTCAAAATAACCCAGATGGTAAAATAAGTTTCTGGGCTATTTCCCCAAAGGATGTTGCAATATGCTAAATGGCGATAAACAAGTTCATAGTGGGGATCTATTAAAATGTCGTACTTAATTTTTGATTTAATTTTATAGAATACACCTAGAGATTAGTTATGGAATGACGTGTGGTTTCCAAGAGAGATTGTCTTTGATCTGTATGCCTAAAAATTTTGTTGATTTAGAACGCTGGATTGAATATCCGTTAATGCTAATGTTGAGGTCCGGTACTAAATCTGTTAAGTACACACAACCAACCAGCACACTATTTTACGCACTCAATAAACATGCACGCAAACACACATTCATGCAACACATTCTCTGCAGTTGATGTTTGGTCAGTTGGATGCATCTTGGCAGAGTTGATTATGGGCAAACCTCTCTTCCCAGGGACCGACCGTTAGTACATCTTTCAATTTTGTCTTTGCTTTCTTGAGCTTTATAATTTTTATTGTTTGTATTTATAATTGATTATTGTTGTTAACTGTTGTTTTAAAAAATTTATTTAATAAAATATATAAATTTTGTGGTTGTTAATAGATTCTAGTAGGTTTTCAATAATTTTGGGTTCATAGTTATGTAAAACATTTCGTGTCTGTAAAATGCTCATTCATTGTAATTACTCTTACTTTACAAGTCTTTAAAGAGCATCATTTGCTTTTTATGCATGCAATTTACGTTAAGTTTTGTAAATTAATGTTGTGTTGCACGATCTGGGGTCTCACAGTATCTTTTTTTTTATTCTTACCTCATATCCAGGGCCTCATCACTAATAGAGCTACATGTTCATCAACGCATTATATTCAAACTCATGGTTATAACTTACCAGATTTTAAACAAATGACAACCACAATATCTTTATAATTTCTTGCATTTTGGACAACATTCCATTCCGATCAAACTCAACTACTCATTTACACCACCTGTCATCAAGTCTTGTGCTCCAAAAGTGATTTTTCTTTTTGTGCTCCTTTGTGGAGTAACTTGCCCTCTTCTGCCAGAGAACAACCATCACTTAATTTATTTAAACAACATTTAAAGCACCATTTTTTTCGCCAGACATTTTGTGGGATATCGATGATAACATCTTTTTCTGTGCGCCCCTGACGCTATGCAAAGGCGCTGTATAAATTACGTTATCATTCTTCTTATTATTTTTATTATTATCACATGTGTACTATGGTGCTTTTCGTCGGCTTAGTTTTTTATTTTTTTTATTCCTGAACAACGGGACCAAACAAGTTAACGAACTTTTGTTTTTCAGAATAGCCACATTTTATTACATTATTTATTAGCATAAGTTAATAAAATGATGTTAATTGATGTTTGTTATTAAGTAGTAATGTTATAAGGATAGTGCTAATTTGCATGCATGTGCATGAATAATTTTTCTTTGTTATTTATATTATGTTCTATTTTATATGTTCTGTTTTATTATTATTATTTTCAAAATGTGTGAACAAAATTGATGGATTGGTTGAACCAATTGAACAGACATTGACCAGTTGAAGAAGACCATGAAGCTGACGGGCACACCCAACCAGGAACTTCTCAGCAAGATCACCAGTGATGAGGTGGTTCACCTCATTCACTTTCCTCTTAAATTCTTTGACAGAACTTCTTTCTTCCCCTAACTCAATAATTTTATGATTTAATTTAGAGTTATTAGTTTATAAACCTGTTTATTCTTTATTGTTTAGTTAAATGTGAAGTTGACAACTTGTACCATTGTATTTTGAATTAATTTAATGATATTTGGTTGAAATTTCATGTGTTAAACATGCCATGTCTTGAGCGTTTTAGGAGGACTAAATAAATTGCATGTGTTATTAAATGTATGTGTTAAATAGGTTTTAATGAATATTCTGATATAATAAATTAGTGTTATAATTTAACTGTTTCAATGAAGGCGAAGAAGTTCATTCAGTCGTTGCCTGTCATGTCGAAGAAGGATTTTAAGGCATACTTCCATGGAGCCAACCCCCTAGGTGAGGTGCCAGCAATCTGATGATCTCTGGTCATGTTTTAATATTATATAACTAGTCAGAGAAGTAACAGTGGGAGTTAACAACTTCTTCCACAAGGAAGTTTTTATTTAAATTTTTCCCTCTTCTGCAAGAGTAAAAAAGTAAAAATAATATAGATAAATATCCATTTGCATCTTGTTTGCAAAATCATCTACCCACGTTTTCAAAGTTTTTAAATTCTCAGAAGGTTTTTGACTACGCTGCTGTATATTGATGTTTACATGCATACAATGTTATATAGATTGTTGCGATGTTCAATCTAAGTTAAGTTTGATGTAAATATCAAGACTCAGCTGCTAAAACTCTTCATCAAAATTCTGCTGTCAGCATGTCATTCACATGGCGTTAACAATGTTGTGATTTATGCAAAAATTTCATTAAATTAATTTTTTACCTATTTTACACAACATGATTTTATATTTCAATTTTTTAATTTTCCCTCGAACAGCCATAGATTTGATTGAAAAAATGCTGAACCTTGACCCCGACCATCGCATCACCACAGAACAATCACTGGCACATCCATACCTTGCCCAATACTCGGACCCCTCTGATGAACCGACTGCTGAACCTTTTGATCAGTCCGTTGAGGAGAAGGACCTGGACATCAATTCGTGGAAAAGTTAGTTGATGAATTTTTCCAATCATTCATTTAATTTTCTTTTGCTTGTTCCGATGTTTAAATTTGTTAAATTTATCAAGTTATTTAAATTTAATGATTTCTTACAAAATGGATACAATTTTAAACTGGCTAATTATTATTGACATTTAATAAAAACAGAATTGATATACGAAGAGATCTGCAGTTTTGTGCCACCAGAAATCATTGACTAAACAAAAGACTGACACTTAGATGTTCACATGCTCCTATATGTTCTAGGTTGAGTAAATATTTTCTTGAGCAGTGAACACCCAGATGACTGGTCAACCAACCAATTAATTGATTGATTGATTTATTATTTACCAGTTAATTAATTATTTAATAATTGATCGAATTGATTCGTTTTATTTGTTAACCTTTTTAACAAATGTTAATTTAGCTGTTATTAGTTATTAACATTTTACTAACGTGGGATGTGGATTGGGATGGTTCATGATTATGACCATGTCACGTAATGTACGATGTAAGATGCACATTAAACAAATATACTTCTCTTGATATGATGCATGTTGTCATAGTTTAAATGTCGTTTCAATTTTCTCAACATTGATTCTTCTTAATGATGTTAACATTTTTACAATATTTTTAATTATATAGATTTTATTAATTTTATTTAACAAGCTATTGTTTTAATTCGTTTCGTATATTTATTTTTTTTATAAATACAACTGAAAATTTTATCATGGTATATTCCTCTTTTTGTATAAACTTTCAATTTTAAGTAGGGTACAATTTGTATGGTTAGAAATACTTCTGTGCAATGTTTCATTGCAATTTCTTCTTAAGACACAACTTGATTCTTGTTCTAAATCTTCAATTTATTTTTTAATTGTGTGCGTACGTGCGTGCGTGTGTTTGTACATATACGTGTGCATGTGTGTGATGCAAGCATTGCCATTAAGCTTGAATATTTTTTAATGACAAGAATCAATCATTTTATTAATATATGTCTGAACATTCTTTGGTCAGCTTTCATTTTCATAATAATAAGAATTGTAATCAACCTTAAGAGAAAAATGTTATTCAATATATTTATTTTGACCGTTTTTGATTTTATACTAAAAAGAATTTTAGCAAATATTTGAAATTATCGTTTAGTTATGATTGTTAACATTTGGTACAATAAAAGCAACAACGTATAGAACGGCTTTCGCGAAGACGTTCATTTTTCGTACCTCACTGTGTGCCAGTATCATCATTCATTAAAGCATCCTTCGTACGTTTTTCATCAATCGTTCACTCATCTTTCAGACGTCCACTACTGGAGTCACCTTCGTATGTCGCAATCAGAATCATTCGTACGATCGAAACCCATAATTCATCATTCGAACTCCACTTTACAATTTTTTTTAAATTTCAAGCACGCATAACTAGAAGTGAACATGGAAACGTAAATACCATGGATTCCGTGGGAATTGGTAAAAACTAAATTTTGGAAATGGAAATTTTAGGGAATCACTGTTCGGGAATTAGGAATGATCAAACATGACCAAATTTAAAAAATAAATTTTGATGAAAATTTATGCACGTGTGCATACGCACATATACCTATGCACGTGTGTGTTAACGTAGAAGATAACCACTTGCAAACAATGGAGCCATAAAGAAAATTTAACGTTATATATAAATATGTTATATATAATTCAATCAATCAATTAGCTTATAAAGCGCTATATCCGCGATGTTCAACAGCGCTCCTCAATGAATTTTGCAGACAGATGGATTTTGAGATCTGCTTTGAACTTTTTAAGTAATGGAGAAGTAGCCAGAAAAGTAGTTAGAGAGTTCCAGAGAAAAGGGCCAGAAAAAGCAAATGCAGATTTAGCAAGAGTGCTTAACACGAGTTAAGAAAAAGTGAGAACAAGAAGACAATCGTAAACCGGGGTGTTTAGGTTCAATTAATATATCTGATAAGTACAAAGGAAATAATTTAGATTGAGACTTATGCACAAATGTGCAAATTTTAAAAATTATTCTACGTTTTATAGCCAGTGCAAGAGAACAAGATATGGAGATATATGAGAAAAGAAAGGGGCACGAGCAACTAGACGAGCAGCAGAGTTAAAAGCTTTACCTAAAGGATAGAGTGTAGAATCAGGAAGACCGTAGTAGAGCGAGTTACAATAATCAATCCTAGACGAGACTAACAAAGTAACAAGAAGGAGAAGAGTAGGATATATATTTATATATATATGTGTGTGTTTGTGTGCTAGAGACATACACATTCACATACGTACACACGTATGCGTTAACAAAGAAGATAATCACGTGCAAGCAATAGAGCTATAAAGAAATTTCATATAAAATATATATAAGCAAACATGTGGTCGACACATACCCACACTTGTGGTCATCAGAAATGCACTTAGTATAAATATTCATAAACATCTATAAAATTGTTTCAATTGTTACAGTTGCAATTTAGCATAATTACTGTCATAATACATTTTAACGCTTTTGGATTTTTATTTTGTTTGGTACTAAAAACACGTTCTTAATGTTTGCATTTTTTAAATTTGTTTTTGATGTTCAAAAATAAGCAAAATAGGAAAAAAGGGGAATGGGAGAGAAAACGCGGAAATGAGTTGAAAAAATGGGAAGTAAGAATTTTTTCATAAATGGGAATTCGGGAGGGAATCGAGCACAACAAACAAAAATGGGAGGGAATTAGAAACAAATTTCAATTCCCGCTCACCTCTACGCACCACCACCGATCTTACATCATTCCATTAATTGTTTGTCCTTTGAGATATGGGCCACTCATGGCCGACAAGAACATTGGCAAGTCACAAGTTAGATCAAGTCAATTTTATTTAACAGGTTTGGTAATTATAAGACTTAATAACATAACCTTAACGTCAACCAATCATCTAAAGCGCCATTTCCGCAAGTTCAATTGTGCTCCTCAATGTTGTTTTTTGTAAACAGACCAGCTCGGAACTTTGATGGAGAAGTAGTTATAAGAGATTGAATAAATATCCAGAGAATAAGGCCAGAAAACACAATTTCTTATTTTGCGCATAATCGTTTTTAGCATGAATTGAGAAAAAGTTGAAACGAGAAGGCGGTCGTAGACCGGGGTGGGTGTTTAAGTTTAGTCGAAATATCTGATAAATGCTTAGGAAATTATTTTAGTACATTGATTTGCAAATCATTCTATACTCTAGTGCAAGATAACAAGACATAGAGATGCAAACGAGCAGCAGGACTAAAAACTTGTTAGTTACAGGATAGGATAGAATGTAGAATCAGGAACACCATAGCAAAACGAGTTACAATAATTATCAATTCTAGATAAAACTAATGAAATAGCAAGAGAAGTGTCAAGGAAAGGCATAGATTTTACGAAAATATGAATTTTATAAATAAGTGAGATGAGATCAACTCAAAACAACCTATAAATATTCTACATATTTTTATTTGTAGGCAGATCATCAGATCATACTTATTGCTTCAGTAAATCGCGACAAATACTCGAATAAAAAAATTTATTTAAAAGTAATACAACATTTATACCAAGTGAATTATTAAAGAGACTAACACCAGTTAGATAAATTAAAATGAATTCTACAACGAAATTAGCAATCCATTAAATTTAACAATGCAGACAAAATAAATAAATTGTGGAATGATTCAGCGTAGCAAAATGAAAACTGTAAAAAAGATAACCGAAAAATTAAACCCAAAACATTAAAGAACTGTTGTGCTCGTTAACACATTTCGGACGTAAAAAAGTAATGACCAAAAGTAATGGTCATAACTTTGCAAAGCCTGTTCAACATACATTTTCAGAAGGAAGAAGCAAGCCAACTCCTGGCACACAAATAAATATTTGTTGTTTTCAAATTTAATTTCAAGTCGTAACTAGAATATTTATAATAATCATTCTAGTTGCGGTGTCAATCAAATCGTCTTCAATAAATTTTAAATTATTAAAACAAAATCCGAAAAAGTAAAAGGAAGCAACATGATGTTTAATTATCATGCATCGAGGAGGATGAGGTGGATGAGTGGATTAGAAAATCGAGACGTTGAGCTAATTCAACGTCACGATTGATACAAATGGAAATCAGATGAAAATCTCGAATTTTCAGTAAATTTGAAGTGACCAATTTTCAAACGAATTTAGTGATTGAAAAAATAAAAGAATGAAGCAACGGATGAATCTGCAGTCTTTGCAGTTAGAGCATCTTGTTCATCTCCACTCTGTTTTGGTTGATTTCTTCCTCGGATTCGATCAAATTTGTCAGGACACTAGGAATCGAAATGGTTGATGGTAAAGTGATCAAAATAATTAATCTGACTTATAATAATCGTGGAACGTTCATACAGTTGCTTACAAATGCAACTTCACAAATCAAGTTCACATGTACACTAACAATTAAACGAAATAACTCGGAGCTTATTTGTATGAAAATATATGAGGGAAAAAGAGGAACGAACTTGTCAATCATAGAGCTGGGTATGTTCTCTTCAACCCACTTCAAGTCGTCATCCTACGTTGCAAAATGTTTATAGATTATGCTGAACCAAAATATTTTTTAAATGGTGCAAATGTTGTGATGTTTAAAAATTATATTCCACTCTACTTGAATAGACATCACTTATTTCAGTGAAAAAGTGAGACATTGAATGGACAGAAAATCAAAAAAGAATAAAACGAAAAAAAATGAGCGAACTTAATAAGCGAACGAACGAACGAATATGCAAATAAACTAGTGAGTTTTCACCTCTTTCCCAGTCTTCTCAGAGTGAGACCTTTTAAGCTTTTTCACTGAATTTAAAAACAAATAATAATAAAAAAATTAAAAACAAACATGAAATTGTTTAAAAACTTCTTACAATGATAAAAAAGCTTATCATTGATAACATTTAAAAAATATTCAACTGGCTAAACGAAATATAATACGAACCTCCAAATCCTTCGTTACCATCATCATCACAAGCACCATCTTCTTCATCCTCTCCATCGTACAAAGGTGAGTAAGCATATCTGTGTCATCATTATTCAAATCAATCATTAAAGCGTTCAGTTGTTAACATCTTAACAAATAACGAATACATACAGAATAATTAAATATAATAAAAATATAAAAAGCTAATAATAATGATACAAATTATTAGTATTATTATGAGGTAGTAGCTAACCTCTGGTTGTTGGCGGCTGGCCTCCAGAGGATGATGATGGCCAGGAGAATGATGCAGAAGAGCAGGTGCCAGAACGCAACTTCCCACCACTGTTCAGACCAGTCCTGCGAGAACATTCATAGATCTTCATTTGCACATTTTCTTAAGAATATGTATGTGGGTATACGTTGTGATGTGTGTGAGTAATCAAAACTATTTTATTAATTAGCTATATTTCATTTATGGACTATTTTTAATCAACTTTTCTTAATTTTAATTAAATAATTTTATTTATTTTATTATGTGATTTATTTTAATATTATCGTCAGAATTGTAATAGTTCTAGTTTGTAGTATAAATGTTTTGAAATATTTTATACGTGAGCAAATGGATTATTCATTTTTTACTTGCTAAGTTATGTTCATGATGATGATGACGATGGTCATGGTAATGATCATGGTCAAGATCATGGTAAACGGTTTTAACAACGCCAACATACTAACATAACTTGCAAACACATTTCGGTCAAAAAATGACAAGGCACATACCTAAAATTAAAAATACATGTTCAGAAAACCGCAGCACTGCCGTTCTACTAACTACATCGAGGAAACCACAACAACGCAAAATGCTCATCAACTACTAACACTGACACAATCCTTCGACCGATGTCTAATTGTGGACCAGACGACGAATACCACGGAGACTGGATGAAAGCAAATTTGTATTTCATTCACTACAGTTATCACTTTTTGACCAAATGATATAATTATTAAAGCATTTAAAAACACGACAATAAGTGAATGATAATAAAACCGAAAAAGAGACCTAAAATAGAGAATATGAGGACGTTGCGGAAATGTCTGTAAAGTGTCAGTTTGACAATATTCTTCTTTAATGTGACTAAGCGGATGGTCTTGACAAGATTAGTGAAAATGTGACGGTGAGCAGTTAAGGAGGGTTCCACTTTGCCACAAGTTAATTTATAACATATGCATCACACCTCGTCATACCACATAACATTACATCACACAATCACATCACAACATCACACACCACCACCCAGTGGCGGATCTAGAGGGGAAAGGCCGGGAAGGGCGCTGCCTCCCCCGTCGTGAACAGTTTTTTAATAAATGTCAGAAAAAGGACTGTTTTATGTGCTTTTTGAACATTTTCAAATTTTTGGCCCACCCCGTCAAAGTTGTCTAGATCCGTCACTGTCAACACACATCACATCACAACAACACATCACACACTACCACATATCCCACCACGTCACATTACAACAAAACATCACATCACAACTCATCACATCACAACAACATATCACATCCCAACAACACATCACATCACATACCAGCACACATCACAACATCACACACACACCCACACGTCACCCGTCACGTCACAACAACATATCACATACCACCCCACATCAAAACATCACACAGCACCACACATCACGTCACAACAACACATCAGCCTCTCCCTCAAAAAGATATCCACATCATGATGACGGCATCTGTGATGACCAGAAGAGTGACGACAACCAATGATGAGGTGCTGAATGAAGGTTTCTGGTGTCGATGGTTGGAAGAAGTGATGAATGAATAAATTCATCATAGATAGGTTGATGGCAGGATTGTTAATACCGAAATATCGATATCGCTTCGATAGTATCGCCGATAATATTTCGGTATCGGTAGCGCCTCTATTTTCTAATGTAAGTAACGCAACGGTTATAACCGATACGTTTAAGAGCCGTCGTCGATATTGATTGATACCGATCGACGCTCTTCAAACAAGTTGACAAAATTCTGTCTCATAACTTTTTAAACCGTTCATTTTTCGATTGTTATTAACGTTTTCGGGACTCCTACAAAAAAGCACGTTTTTTTGTGCGAGTTTTTCAACTGTAGCGTTTATTTTCCTGATTTTGTAATGGCGAAATGGTGTCGTATTTTCAATTTTTATAGCCATGCATTCTCACTTTTGTTAAATTAAAGTCATTTATAAGTTAGATGTTTTGTTATTAAAACTAAAATCATATTCCAATTTTTGCAAAAAAATTTTAAATTTCGTTTAAAAAGTATCGCTAAAAGAATCGGTCTCGACGATACCGATACTTTTGAAAATTAATGTCGGTAGAAGCAATATTTTCGGCTAAAGTATCGCTAATGCATCGCCAATACTTTTCATAATCCTGTTTGATAGATGAATGAATTCATTCTTGACTATGATGATAGGCTAAATGCAACAATTGTTTGTAATGTTGCAATGAATGAATGAAAAAATGAACGACTGAATGAATGAATCTATTATATCATCCTAACGAAAAGAATGAATAAGGTAGCAAATGGTTGCCAAATAAATTAATGAAAACTTCAAAAGATATGACAATATTCGACAATCATGAATTCTTGAATCATTTTACTTACACCAGCCATCCGCCAACCAAACATGTACCACAAAAATTATTAAACGTTTCCATTTCTAAAACCACTGATCACTTTTCATGAGTTATAATATATTGCACCACCATCATTATTACTGAACACTGACCATTACAATAATCACCAGCATCATTATCACGTAACGTGACGTCCTACGAACTATTGGAAGGACTGACCTGATATATCCTGGAGCAGAGAGCTTCTGCAAAGTTGCAGACGAGGAAGAGCAGACCAACCAACGTCACTTTGTTCAATGTCGTGCTCAGGCGTGGTCTGATTGGTCGCGGGAAAATTAAGAAGTTCATTACGAACGATGGGTCAATTGATGTCGGGAGGCAAGGACAAGGTTCAAACAAAAAGAGAACATGCACAGCACATACACAGAAGATACATTGAAGGATGAAGCGATATGATACACAACCTTATGATCCCAAATCCCAACGACACAATGATAATGAGCATTCTTGACACTGTCTTCTTCAAACTCGATATGAATTCAGCTGCTATTAGCAAGCTACCAGCTGGAAAAAATTAAAAAGATACATAATACAAAAAAAAAAAACTCAATCATATTTCTTTTCATAGTAAATATAACAATATTTTTTTCAGTTTTGAACGCCATTGTCTTTCATATCCCTATTTTTCGAGTGCCAATAACTGCTCATCATGACTGATTTCATTTTGAAACCTTCCATTCAACAAGACTACATCAACCAATCAATCAATCTTCGTTTTGCGTCTAGAGTCCCGGTTCCCAGAGGTAGGACGTTTCCATTCAACAAGACTACAAGTCAATTCTAGCAACAGTTTCATAAATCTTTCCATTCAGTCCCTTCAAACTTCCTCACAAGTCTTCACTCAACTCTAAGCTATCCGATCATAATTTGACAAAAAAAACTCTTATTAATTACTTTCCACTGCACCTCATCATTTGCAGGTTCACACAAACACATTTATACATAATAATCTGTCAATATTTTGTGTGGATGAATTTATTTGATCAGATCACCAAACTACATACTGGTTTCTCCATATTTGGAAAATGTATCATATTCACCGAGGAACATGGCTTTTTCCAGCATACCTGTTGTTATATATCATTTGTTCCGTCTTTATTTTCTTGCACAATGATAAGATAAAATGTATAAAAAACAAGTTTGAAAGTTGGTAAAACTCAATCTAATTTTAAAACGCACCAGAAAGAATAAAATAATTCATAAATTTCTACGTGCACTGCATCGAATGAATTTTTAAAAATATAAAAATTAGCAAAACTTTCAATTTATTAGGACATACATGCCCCAGTAGAGATGCCAATGAAAAAAAGATAATAATATATTAATGAAGATGAGCAAAGAAATTGGCCGACCCATGAGAATGACACCTCCAATCCAGAACTGCAGTCTCAGCAGATCCTTCCAATAGCAGCAACACAACACCAGCCACACGAAGGCATACAGCGAATACAACACACACATCACTGCATAGAACTTCAACGATGTTTCAGGTAATCAATTATTCAGAATATTATTAAAAATTTAAATTGCATAATATTAAAAACTAACAATTACACAACTAAACAAATCTACAAAATACATAAAAAAAAGTTAAGAATAAGTGAAATGGCATAATAGCAATAATTAACAATTACATTAAGTAACAAAATATATAAAGAAAGTTAAGATTGCTGATGATAAAATGGGAGATAACGAACAGGTAGGAGGGGCCAGTCTTGAGGGCTGAGGTAGCCATGGTCTCCTTTGTATTCCAGCTGCACTATTTTCATTCCAAACATTTTATAACATGAGTAACACTTTAAATCATATCAGCATCTTTTAAATTAGCATGAAAATTTTGTGGAAAAAACAAATGAATGATGGATGAACACAGGCTCAAACAAACAACAAACAACCAACAAACAATACACATCTAACAAACAACCAACAAACAACCAGAAACAATAAACATCCAATAAACAAACAAACAACCAATTAATATCTAACAAACAACCAACAAACAATAAACATGTAACAAACAAACAAACAAACAAACAAACAAACAAACAAGCAAACAAACAGACAGACAGACAGACAGACAGACAGACAGACAGACAAACAAACAAACAAACAACCAATAAACATCCAACAAACAAACAAAAATAAATATCCTACAAACAACCATCAAGCAAACTACAACCATCCAACAAACAACTAACAACAACCCAACAAACATTCAACAACAGCAACAACAACAAACATCCAGCAAGTCAACGCTATCCTTTATATCCACGGTAGGCTGCATTTTATTCAAAGAGGTGAAAAATGCGAACATGTTTTGTTGATAGAAGCATAAATACTGACAAAAATATCTTTAAAAGATATAATCCACAAAGAAATAAGATCAGATATTAAACGTTTTACCATTTTCAAAAATAAATTCACTAAACCAACGTGTGTCAGTGATAGCCTCAAATTTCATCGTTATTATGTAGACACTTGTTTCTGGAAAGCAAGTCAGCAAATCCTTCAACAAAAATTACCAATAAAATTTCTATATATAAATTTCTATATATAATATTTATATATATATATATATATATATATATATATATATATATATATATATATATATATGTATGTATGTATTTATATACATAATTAAATAATAATATTATAAAAAACTTAACTTTAGACAGAGCTTTAAAACAAAAAAACATCTAATAAAAACCCCTATTTCAAATTCTCTATATAATGTTCTAAAGTTCCTAAATTAAATAGTTTTCTTGCAACCAAACATTCATAACTTTCAACATTCAACTCAATATTGGAACTTTCAGAGCAATAATAAATTCAATAGGCAAACAGTTGTTAGTAATAACAAAGTCAAATTATGAAAAATAAAAAATTCAACAAACTTCGTCTGCATGTGGACACTTAAATTCTAATCTACCATTCCAATCTTTGCCAACCTGTATGCATTAGATGTAGATGCAATTAAATACCTATTTCTGCCAATCAGTGAACAAGTTATGAGACTAAAAAAAGTCTCATTCACATTTGAAAAACACGTACTTGATATTCTTCAATTTGAGATGAGATGTTGTTGGGCAAGCAAGAAACTTTCTTGACATTAATGTTCAAAAACAATGACACATTATGATGGCACTGTTTTACTTTTGCAAAATAAATTTAAATCAATCATTAGAAATGGACCAAAAGACCGATGAAACATCACCTTTCAATCAAGTTACTGCACAAACTTATAGTTTTATAAACAAGCTCTTATTTAATTAATTAGACAAATTAAATCAAATAAAATACTTTTAATCAGTTTTAATTGCCAAAGTAAAATAACAAATGTCAAAAATAACAAAACTGTTACTAAATTAATATTGAATAAATAATTGATATTATTTTTTTAAATTTATAAAAAAATTAAATACTTCTGATTGTCACAGTAGAGTTTTTATAAAATGTTCTGGCTATGGTAAGTGAATACTGAAAAAACATAATGAATATTTATATATTTAATTATTTTTAATGGTGATGCATTGTGAATTTTATAAATCAAATAATAAATCCAATTTATGTCAAATCGGATTGTACATAAAGACTATCAAAGTCAATTATTTTATTTATTCCCTCTATCCAACTAATTACTAACCTAATAATACTAAATAAAGTTAAGGTTCTAAGTTAAAGTTTAGTTAGAAGTTCTTAACATAAAACTAAATAAACCAAACTTACTGTGAGTGTATTGTATGTATATGTAGAATAATGATTTCTTTTCTTCTACAAATAATCTACTTAACTAATCTAATAAATAACTATTGCAGTATTAGTTTTTGTTTTGCAAATTTCAAATATAACTGCTATTAAATTAAATAAATCAACATTATTTATATAGATAGAGAATCTATGTAACTTTGAAGTTAAGTTTATTGATTTAATTAATTTTAATACCAGTTACCAATTTTAAAAATAACTGTTAGATTTAAAATTTGCAAAATGAAAACTAATACTGCAGTTGTTATGTGTGTGTGAATATAAATATAATTGAGATAGATATAGAAGAGTAGATAAAATAAAGCCTATGCCTATATAATATATGGCATATGCCTATGATCAGATGGCTAATCTATCTAACTAACTAAAAACTAACACTAACTAATCATCTAATATTCTAATTCTTCCAATGCTAATCTAATCTACATAAAAAATGAAGTAGCAAAAATAAATTTTTCCAATGAACATATTAAAATTTAAATTAATAACTAAATTAAAAGTTGAAAATGACATCAATAATAATATAATTTAATAATTATAATGACAAGATAGCCTGGTTGGCTGAACACTGAATTGAAAATTGAACAAGTTAGAAACTGAAGCAGAAGAGCAGATGATTTCTACTAGATGTTAATTTAAGATTGAATTAAATTAAATTAACAGATTAACTACCTACATATATTAATAATTAATTGTTATTATTCAATGAACAACAAGTTCAAAAACTTACTTCGTTTTGAAGAAATGATACGGTATCTTTTCCAACTTCTATGCCATTTATGAATGAGGCATTTATCACTAAAAAAGACGCTACAAATAGAAAACGTTGAAATTTAGCCATTATTTCATAAATAAACTATATCTCATTTTTAAATGGACGTTTAAAAATAAAAACTAGTGATGTATCTATTAGTAATTGTTAGCAACTTTAGCTCAATTACTAGAAAGTTAAAAGTATTCGATTAACTAACTAGATTTGAAATTTACAAACTGATGGATCTTGATAATCGCTCTAAATTTTGTAAAATCGTAAATGATGAAAAAGTAGTTAGTGAAAGAAAAAAAAAGTTTCAGAAAACATAGCATAAGAAAACGGATATATAGAGAGAATGTTTTTGATTTTGCGTCTCATATTTCGATTTTTTAAAGAATAAAAAAAATTGTGAATTGATCATATATTAATATATATATAATTATATATATAATATATATTGAACAAATAATCATATATAGAAAAGCGATGACTTTGCAATCTAAATCCTTCAAAAATGTTTTTAAGATTCGGTCTGTTTCGATGTCTCGATCGTCAATTCGTCGAGGCCGTCGATTCTTCGGTAATTTGCGTCTTACAAAAATAAGAAAAATTGTACGGAGTGACGAATAAATAAATATAAAATAAAATTTTATTTCAATTTCATTACAATTAAACTGCAGATACACAAAGTACCAGAATAACTTTTTATTTCAATAAACAAGTTTAAAATCAACCGTCACTGTCGTGTGCCATCATTAACCAGCAAGCTGGTGAGGTGGGTGAAAGTTCTTGTTCAATGTTCTTGTTCACAAGTGGCCCCGCTCAATTTGTTCTTGCCTTGTATTGTACATGAACCAGTTTCTTGTTACATGCATGTATTTAACATAATTTTAACTTAGTTCTCAAACAACACAGATAATATATAGTTTATTTATGTCCTCTGTCATTGCAAAAGGAATGTCTACTTTTTTAACTAAAGATACCTGCACTAAACTTCAATTTACAATTGTTAAGAACTTGACTCCATGCAAAAACTTCAGGTTTGTTGTTTCTGTTATGATGAGTTATGATATGATGCAGTTATGTTATTTATTTAAATTAAATTATGCATCATATATATATATTATTTATTTTGTTATTTAATTTTTATCTGATAAAATTTATAACAAATATAATTAAAATTGTATTATTTTAATTTCTGTTGTCTGCTGATTTTTTAAATTTTAAAATCTTGTTGACTAATCTGATATGGATTAAATTAAAAATAATTATTTTTAAAATTTGCTCTGAACTGAAGTTTTCATCATCTTGTATCACTTGCTCCATTTATGTATCTACTTACTTATTATATTTTGGCTGTAATAAATAATAATAATATTGAATTTTTCCTTAAGTTTTTATCATATACTGCAAATGGAAACTTAATTTTTTAAACTATTCTGGTCTAAAAAGCTTCAATAAAAATGTGAGATAAATGTGAAATTCTTTGGAGTTATTATTATCCTTGTCATTTTATTTACATTTATTAAATTTTTGACTAGCTAGAAGCTGTTGAACATTGCCAAAATGGTGCTTCACAAATTAATTGATTGATTTTAAAATGTTCACATTAGTACAGTATTTTACAATTGTAGTGTATTTATATTACTTTCAGCATTGAAGATGGCATGTTCCAGTTACCAGAATCTCTTAAATCTTCAAAGGTGAAACAGAATGACGTAAGTCATACAGTGAATGTTTAATCAATTTTATTATTCTATGATTTCAATAATTAAATTTTTATTTTAGTATGCTCTCTTGAAATTGTTGAAGCCTTCAATTTTGCACGAAGTCACCATCCTGCACAGCACTCTGAAAAGTTTTGCCATCTATGCTGGCTTATCTGAAGATAAATTAAACTTGATTTGTGAAGGGTCTGTACAAATTTTAAATCCGCATTCTCTTTTAAGATGTTTATCCCGCTCGAACTTTATCTTTGCTATCTTATTATTTTGCTTCCACCTTTATTATTACTATTTGCATTTCGCATTATTACTATTGGCTTTCATTCTGCAACAGGAAGATGCGACATGATGATGATGACTACGTACATTCAAGCACAGTTCAGAACAAGATCAACTTCATTCTCATGCCTTGCTTATATGTTAAATTTTGTTAGTGTCACTTTTGTTACTTAATTTTAATTCTTTTTTATTTTCAAAGTTCTTGTGGTTCATTTTGTTTGCTAATTTTGTTCACTCTATGTAAAATTGAAATAATAATTAAAAGTGTTATTTTTGGTTTAAAAATTATATTAACATTATATTATTCACAATTTTAATAATATGACTTTCAATAAAAATAATTGTACTTATAAAATTTGTTTGGATGCTTCAGTTACTCTTTCTCGTTTCATATATTGGGAAATAGATTGTAATCATCTTCATTATAAAATGCTGAGCTACATTTGAAGATTGTACAGAAGATTGTTAATGTTATAAACCTTGAGTACATTGAACACGAACAGGTCCTTACCAGTACCATCATTCGAGTCGATTATTCGATGTAGAAGACTGCCTCACACTGTATGGCAGTGCTGATGAAATGCTTGTTACTGCTGGCATCAGCAACAACGTGCATGTATGTTTGCTTGCTTGTCATCAGTTGGCAGCATTTTTTTTTCATTCCACTATAAATTTCATAAACTAGTGAAATAAACAGAATATTTCTACGTCTATGAAAGAAGTTACATTTTGGTGTCAGCCACTAACTCATTAGAATTTATTATCACATTCTTGGAATATAAATTGCTTCAATAAAAATTTGCTTTACAAAATTGTATTTATTGTCCTTAAGATATATTACAAGTTTGTTATTATATCTAATAATTTACAGTATGAAAACACTCTGTCAGTTAAATTGTGTCTGAAGTATTTGAGACAACGTGGGTATAAGGAAGCCTTTGATTCATTGAGTAGATCATCAAATGTGTCACTGGAACATGGCATAGTTCGTGACCTCTACAAATGCATTGTGAGTCCCAATAATGTTTTAACTTTTTCATTGTTTTATATGAACGAATGTGTTTATGGGTGTCTGCTTGCTTTTTTATTTGTTGGTAGTTCACAATTAATTACAGAATGATTAAATTATGATTTTTTTTTCATCAGATAGATGAAGGTGATTTTGAGAAATGTGAAAAAGTTGTTGAGCAGTATGTTGAAGGTTGGTTGAAGTTTATTTCAAAATTAATTTCAGAATGATGATGATTTATTGCAATTATTTTATTTTTTCTCATGGCTGTAATTTATTTTGTTTCTTTCTGTACTTATTTTTATAAATAACGTTCTGAAGCCTTTTTGAGTTTAAACTACATGCTTTATGAATTGCATGACGAATTCAACTTTGAGGTGCTATAAGGCGGGAGAACCACACAACAAGTGAGATGTTGTCAGATGATTTTAAGCGTGACAACCGTACGACGAATTGGACGTTCTGATGGCCCGAGTTAGGCGTTATGTTAAAAGGCGCAAAATGATATAAAGCATAAAAATTTCAAAAAAATCGACATGACGTTATGTCGTAAATCATTCGAAAAATAAACAGATAACTTCTTTAACAATAAGTTTGTAGGAAAGTATATAAATTCTATATAAATAAAAATCATTAATTGTCATTATCCCAGAATTAACAAAATACGGAGTAATATGCTCGTATTTATCTACCCAGTAATGATTTTTACGAAATTATTTTAGACAAATGTTAAATGTCTCATATAGGAATTTGAACTTTTACCCCAAATCGACAAACGAAATATCAAATTCGGATATATCAAAGAAAAATCGATCATTTTTGTCACTTGATTGTGAATTTTACTTCTTATTCTAAAAATTATGCCTAAATATTTGGAAAGTTTATTTTTGATGTAAAGAATGTGATCATTCCATGACATATCATTTGATTACAACTCCTAAAAATTTAATAGTTGAGACACGCTTTGTTTGAGTATTATTAGTTTATTAATTACTGCATTATGTCCGAACAAAATATAATTGGTTTTATTAACAGTCAAATGAAGCTTATTTTTAGTCAACCAATCTGCGCCCTATGCAGTTCCTTGTTCGCAACCTCGTTTTAAGCCATAACATCTCTATCTTGATATATAATGGTAGAATCATCTGCATACATCACAAATTTTAATTTTGTAGAGCAAAGACTCAAGTTATTAACATAAACGTTAAATAATAAAGATCCAAAAATTAAATTTTAATTTTGTAGAGCAAAGACTCAAGTTATTAACATAAACGTTAAATAATAAAGATCCAAAAATTAAATCACAAATTTTAATTTTGTAGAGCAAAGACTCAAGTTATTAACATAAACGTTAAATAATAAAGATCCAAAAATTAAATTTCTGAACTGATGAGAGTCGTTTCATCAGAATGCCGATGTTGCAAAAAGTTAAATTAAAATCAATTTTTTGCTAATCGGCTTTAATATTTTTGGTAAAATCTTTAGTTAATTGATTGATTAATCAGTTAGTAGTTGACGCAAATTGTTTGAGTATAACGGGAAGAGCTCTGTTAGGCGAGCTAAACTGGCCCCACGGACATAAAAGGTCCAGAGTGGACTTATCTTCAGACTCGTCGCATCATCAACATGAAGGTCTAATGTTTTTCGTTATTGAACTGGCAACTCAGGTCCCTGACCACGAATTCAAACGATTATCCATATTCAAAATTCAAAAGTTTTTTCAAAATGAAGTGGGAGAATTAGAATTCATCAAAATCCTGCCAAACAAAATTTTAATTTAAAAAAAAGAAGTGAAGGAGTAAAAAGTTTTAAATAAAGAAAATTTGTTTAACGAAAAAGTTAAATCTTCTTCTCATAAAACACTAACACCGGTAAAAGTGTCATTAAAACAACAATATTTAGATACTGTTCTGAACAAGAAATTAGCAATGAATTACTTGACCAAGGTGTTATAGATGTTCATAGCATACAAATAAAAAAAAATAACCAGAAAATAACCACCAACACGTTTATAGTTACATTCCAGAGTTTTCAAATTCTTAAGGAGTTGAAGGTGTGTTTTCAATTACTACAAGTTGAAAAATTTATCTCTCCACCTATGAGATGCACGAGGTTTCAAAGATATAAACACCATCATAAAATCTGTTCAAGAAAGGAGATGATATGTGCAAAATGTTGACAAGCAGGACACAGGCATACTTGGGAGTCACCATGCCAAAACTCACCGATCTTGTTCGATTGTTAGATTGCGTCGGTTGGTCGCAGAGCTCCGAGTAAATGTCAAGTAATCAATCAAAAAATCAGTCGAGTAACGCCAAACATTCGGTAGAATTTATTGAATATTGTAAATATATGTATGTATGTATATATATATATACATACATGTATGTATATGTATATATATATGTATGTATATATATATATGTATATATGTATAATTAGGAAGAAGACCAAGTTCTATACAGTTGTTCAAAAAATTCACCGACGATTCAGCATTAACAAGTTTTATGGTTGATTTTCTAATATTTTGAACTAGTTCTTTACAATTAAGTCTATTCAAAATGTTGAAATCCATTTTATAATCGTTTATGATTTTAATTGTTAAAATTAATCAAGCAAGATCCCATTTTTATAATCGTTTATTTTTTATATTATTATTAAAGTTATGCATATAGATCTATTTCGACGTAAAGTCATCATCAGTGCAATATATATTTTAAATAAATTTTATTAATAGTTAATTAGTTGTATTTTTTAATATATTAAAATAAAATAAAAGTAACGAAATAAAAACGCAAAGGTTCATGAA